TGTCCCGGAATAACACGAGTGGGTCACGAATGTCCTTTAGGCTTATTACATCGTAATTCTCGGAAGCTACTTGGAAGCTACGGAGTCGACCAACTGGTGTTATGCCGAGACAAGCCGAATGCAGAGGTTACGGAAAGAGGCGAGTTGTGACGAATGAAACATTGATATCTGACGCACGCACGTACACACATTTGCTAAACTGTTAAATATTGAACAGAAATGACCATCGATCTAATACATAACGTTAATAATAACGTTGAATCTACCTTGGAAAAGACATACCTATTCAACCTGCAAGTCAAAGATTACTGTGTTGAAGTAAAATATGTTAAAACATCATGCAAATTATATCTATATTGCGAAGTTATTGGGATTTCGTTGAAGTTCAAACTGGATGACCTGGTTCTGCTAATTTGATTCAAATTCAAATTAAGAGTTCCCAGGTCTGCTCGTTTAAACGTTTTTCATATCCAACTCAACGTTTGATTGAAATAAATCAGGTATGTCATTATATTTAAAATACACTTGGCATATGAAATGCCACACAAGGAATAACAAGTATAAGTTATCCTCCTGGACTTTGCGAAGGCGGTTGATAGGCCCACACAACATTCGTGACCCACTCGTGTTATTCCGGGACAAGCCGAATAGCGGGTTACGGAAAGGGGCGAGTGGTGACGAATGGCCCACACAAGAGACAATACAAACTAAGATATAGTACGGAGTAAGAGATAGAACCAACACCTGGATCCAAACATTCCTCGGAGGTAGGAAGCAGAAGGTCATCCTTGAAAGTGTCAAATTCGACCAGGCAGATGTGATATCAGGAGTACCTCAAGGGACAGTCCTGGGACCTCTCCTTTTCCTTGTATTCACAAACGACCTTACGGACTCATGCAACACACTGACGATAGTCTTCTATAAGTCAAATTAAAAGCATTGAGGACAGCAATAATCTACAAGATCTATCAGCACTGGAAGAATGGGAGAGGACCTGGCAGACGAGCTTCAAGTGCTCCATATTTCACATTCGAACAAACAACAGAAAACTACTTATATCTTTCGACTACCAACTACACGGAGTCATACTTGCCACAGAAACATCAAGCAAGTACTTGGGCGTCACAGTATCAAACGACCTAAAATGGAAAGAGCACATCTCCAAGACCATCAGCAAAGGAAACAGGACTATTGGTTTCCTCCGCAGGAACTTCCAAGACTACAACAAGGCAGTTGAAGCGGCAACCTACACCACCATTGTCAGACACCTGGAATATTGTCTATGGGACCAGCATCAGTGAAATCAATGAAGTCCATAGAGTCCATATAGTCTCTGTATGCAATACAAGATCCAGCATGGCCAAGTCGGTATCAACAAAGACCTGTACCTGTGACAAATGACTCAAAGATGAGAGGCGTGAACAGGTTATACCAAGAAAGATCAACACACACAGTACACCACAACTCGTTCTTTCCAAGAACTATCAGGGAATGGAACCTGTTACCAGTACAGTGGACAGAAGCAGAGACCATCACAAGTACCAGTCTGGCCTCACAGGTGCCAGCAAGGAGTTGGTCCAGCCATGATCCCTAATAGACACAGTTTTAACCCAACTGCCTCTTGACTGACTGTTTTCACATGTTTTTAAACTTACAATGGACAGTCGCGTCATCGCAAGCGCGCACTCATTGCAGAACATATTGCAGTCTATGATGATGATTGTTTTTGAATGTTATAGGGGCACTAATTTTGTTCTGGGGAGTCAGCAATTTTGTACACATGTATGGGAGGGAGAGGGGGTAATTGATTTTGTACATGACATGCAGGGGGGGCTCACATCCTTTGTACATAAATTTTAGGGAGGTGGGGTCAGTCACATTGTACATGCTTCTCCATAAAAATCATCATCACTACCCCTAGCCATAAATTATAAACGGCCCCTTGCCATCTCATGAAAGTCAGTTGTTCATTAATGTCTGCAACATTGTCCTTGACTATTTCAACAGACGAACACAATTTAACCTTTTACCTTTAAGGTGGTGCTCCTAAGCAAACTTCAAGTAGGTTAATACCATTTTACCAGTGTGATGACTGTTTTGTCGTAACATAGATGTCATGTGGGAGGGAAGCTAATGACAAGGTAGCAGTGAGTGAGTGAGTGAGTATGGTTTTATGCCACTTTTCAGAAATGAGCTTCACACATTCTGCCCATGTGGGGAATCTAACCCAGGTCTTTGGAGTGATGGGTGGGGGTGCATTAACCACTAGGCTACTGACGATTCATCGATACGCATTGATGCATCGATCCATGGGCCGCCGATACAGTGAATCGATACAAACATTTACATTTTCATATATCCCGAATCGATACTTCAAATGGGCCACGATACATCGATGTTTAACTTTGGATATTGCCGAATCGCGATATCTGTCAAGAAAAAATACTTACTTTTGTTTGATGATTGAAATATATGCTTACTCATTTTCCCCTTCATAAGTAAACGTTTTCTCGGAAATTCTTGCGTCAAGAACTGTGACAGACATAGCGCTCGCATGTTATTAACATTCACAAAGTCCATGTATAAACTTAACTTAAACGAAATACTTTAAAATGGTTTTATTTTGATATTAAGGTGTTTTATAGTTGGTGTTAGAATTAAGGATTTTAGTATCATGATACGTATCGCATCGCGACCCTTTAATCTGGATTCGGATCGTATCGCAGCTTCATTGCACAATACTTTGGCAATATATCGTCGTGACTAAAATTTTAGTATCGTGATGTATCGTATCGCAGTTTGTATGCCAATACCAGCACTACCCATCACCCAGTGTCATGAATGAAATGACACATGACTGATGTCATTCTGTTGCCAGTAATTATGAGAAAGTGTTTCGGCTTGAACATTGACTTGAATCAATGTTTCGATTAATTTACCCTCAGTTTTGTTTGTTGTCTAATGTCACAATTTACACTTGGAATTGGTTGAGCTATGATTTGAGTACATCCAGAAGTGAACGATTTAAACTTTTGTTGGAAACCATGTCACCAATACACTTATAGTTGATAGCTGACCTCACCTACTGCAATGCATGACAGTATGGTCTGTACTGAACAACAGAAGAAACATGTCTAAAGTTGGTCATATTTAAAGCATTTACTTTAGAATATATATCCTTGCTTTGGGCTTATTATCACCTACAACCCCTGTCAACAAGTTTGTAAAATACTTGTTTGGGGCCAGAAGATAATATAGAATGCTTTGTACCATGCATTGTAAAGATTAGCTTGCTCAGGATCTTGGTCCATATGCAACAGCAACAGAGAACATATTCTTTGTGCATTATGCAAGGAGTGAGTGAGTAAGGTTTTACACAGCTTTTAGCACTATTCCAGCAATATCATGGGGGGGGGGGGGGGGGGCACTCAAAATGTGGGATATCGGACCTGGGTCTTCAGCATGATGAGCGATTACTTTAACTTCTAGGCCCATTCGTCACCCCTTTCCGTAAATTCGCTATTCGGCTTGTCCCGGAATAACACGAGTTGGTCACGAATGCTCTAGGCCACCCAACAGCTCCGATCATGCATGGGCAACACATACAGAATGAATATTATCATTTCAATATAACTGCTATGGTCAGTAAGAACTAGGGCTGTAACGATGCATCAAACTATCAATGGATTGCAATTATTGAGTCTCCGATAGTAATTAATCGACGGTAGAAACGAAAATCTATCGATAGTATGTGTGACTATCGATAGTTTAGTAACTGACTTCCATTGATAAATGTGAAACTCAAAATACATTAAGTACCAGATTCGTTCACTTTCATTTAGAGTTATCCGCCCCTGTTACCTCTTAAACAAACCTGATCTGGGTTTCAAGTTTCCTGTCAGTTAATAAAAGAGACTGAAACTACACAAGCTTGTTTATATTTTATATAAACTATACATTCATTAGGGAAATGATTTCAAATAAGACAATTCAAAGAGAAAAAACTATTGCAAATGGTAGAACCGCATAAGCTTGTTTTATTTTAATAAACTATACATTCATTATCTTCAATAATCTATATTCTGAAAGTCACCCCAAGAAAAACAAGCTTGTTTTGAAATATACATTCATTAGGAAATGACAGTATGTAGTGTCGTAATAATCTATCGCTATCGCAACAGTTGTTCCCCCTCAATGGTCACCCCAAGAAAGAACCAAACACATTAATGTCCAAATTCAGCAGTGTCTTTATTGCAGGAATATTGCAGGTAATATCAACAGGCTTGCTTGATGATGGGGTGGAAACACAACAGGTTCTAAACAGTCTCAGTACAACAAGTGTGCAACATGTACAACACAGTTTCACAAACTTAAAAGTTTGCTCTGGTAAAAGTGTCAACCTGGAAATATAAAAACATACAACTTACAAGTGGTTCCAATGATGTGGGTAGAAACAAGAACAATATTCAAGCGTGGGTGGTTGTAGTGTCACTGAAATATCTTTTGAGTGATGCAAACAAACATGGGTGAATACTTTCACCTGACTTTCAGCAGGACAGTTGATATCTCATAGTTGTCCAAATACCAGAGAACGTAGCCTTCTGAAACAAGCCCCTTATATGTTACTGTGAAAAGATTACCAATCTTGTTTCAAGAGCAGAATTTGCACCCGTCTCTCAACATCTACCTGCCTAAACAACCTAAAAACAACTTAATACCAATAAAATATCCTTCTGAGCTCCATAGAAAGTCATCCATGAAGATCCGTATTTGAATTGTTCTTCAGTAACCCATGCTTGTCGTAAGAGGCGACTAATGAGATCGGGTGGTCAGGCTCGCTGACTTGGTTGACACATGTCATTGTATCCCAATTGCAAAGACCGATGCTCATTATCTAATCACTAGATTGTCTGGTCCAGACTCAATTATTAACAGACACCATATAACTGCAATTTTGCTGAGTATGGCGTAAAATTAAACTCACTCACTCACTATATAAGGTCAATCATAATTTTTCAACCCACTCAAGCTAACTGTTATGTTAAAAATCTATAAACCATAAAACTGTAGCCCCAAAATCCCTGAGGTCATGACAATGGCTTCGAATGTGGTGTTGTTGCCTCCTCTGTGGCTTTGATGTTGTCGTCTCCTCTTCAGTGTGCGAAATAGCCACTGTTCTGCTGGCCCGTGGCTAGTAAAAATCCAGTTGGGCCAGTTAATATCCACAGTCACTGACCTGACTGGCTAGTGAATTTTCATGGGATCATTTTGTAAATATATCACTCTCTGACTTGTTCAGTTATAACACACTCTTAAATTGTGCAAGATTATGGCTAAGATATTAGCAGCTTAATGATGAAACCTGTGTCTACATTCAAATTTCGGACTAGTGTGCAAGTAACTTTCAGGTATAGCTTGCCTGACTGGCTAGCAAAAGTTGGAAACTATTTCGCACACTGCTTCTCTATCACACGTTTCTTAAACATGAAACTACACAAAGCTAAATACACACTAATGATCACACAATAAAAAGATGGCACACAGAATGAAACAATAATGTATAAATGATGAATAAACATAAAACTAATGTAGCAATAGACATATTGGAGACTTAGGATTCATTTGAACACATCTTTCTCCATAACAGTTAACAATCACAAACTCGTTTCTATGGTTTCGGGGTTTAAGCGCGAGAGGTTTAATGTTGCATTGTGGTCACATAACAATGAGTAGTTGCTGTTGTTTGGAGAAGCCTGATATGTCAAGGCTAGGGATGGCTATCGACATAGATCAAGGAGATCAACAATCAACTAAAAATTGATTGATTATCAATAAATATCAGTTTAGCAACTTTGAGCAAAAATGCTGAATATGATCTGAGAGATATCGACATATTTCACATAAAAGGTGACTGGACATGTACCTACTTGTATTATGAACAAATTTTGAAGCAGCCAATAAAACCTAACTTTGAATACTGTCAGTGTATTGTAAATTTCATCATAATAGTTTATGTACGATATTATCAATGACACAGTTTTCATATCGATAATCGTTTATGTTTATGTTATCCTTTTCCGCATCAAAGATGTTTCCGATTGTCGTCCATTTAAGCCAGCCCTAATTTGCACAATACAGTACTTATGTACATGTCTTAAAGTTGCATAAACATCTAACAGTTTGGGAGCCATAACCAATTACAGTAATTGCAACAGGCAGGCAATCATTTGTGCAGCTGGTAAATTAGTTCCATAGTTGTAATGTGGTTTTAAAGTTGTGGAATTTGATGGAAGTGATATGTAGAAAGTTCTTCAGCTATCACAAAACAAAATCTTAATCTGATCACGCAATACCACGGGAATGAGACCAAAAGTAACAAGTCATGTTAGTTAAACACAAACTGGTTAAAAGCAAAAACAGCTCTTTCTCTGTGGTCTGCATGCAATACAGAAATTGTAGTGCAAAATGGCACAAATACAGTACCTCTATATATACTGTTAAAAAACACCTGATTCTTTCATAAAACAATAGTTAATCTGCATTCCATGTAATACACACCATGCCATACCTCCTGTATGTACTGACTCATAACTATGGTGATGACATATTAAACCAAACCAAAGCTTTGTTTTCGCTACGAATATCCTAGTGCTGGGACGGGTCAAAGTTTTCTACCCGGGTACCCCGCCCCCTATTACCCTACCCTACCCGGATACCTGTTATGTTAATTTCTGACATCAAATTTGTACGAAATGGCAATATATTCTTTAGCTTGGAGGCTAACATTTTGAGTTTTTCAATATCTTAACCATGTATTATATTCAAATGAAGTGAATGTAATTATGTCTAAATCTTCAAAGACAATACAACCTTTTAATCCTGAAATAATAACATATTACATTGTTTAATCTATTAGTCGCATGATCATAACGGGTCCGGGTATTGAGACGGGTGCCGGATCCAACTCATTTCCCACTCGTCCCGGTTATCCGGGTTACCCGTACCAGTCCTAGAATATTCACAAACCCCAAATCGTTTAGAATATATCAATGGAACCTATGGAAAAGGAACAAGAATTGTTTCTCCTGTAATTACAAAACTCCAGTAAGCATCTGGACCAGCCTCATGACTACACAGGGTTAAATCTATCCATGTACTGTAGAGCTGCTGTAAAAATACTATTACCCAGAACACATATTATTTTTCTGAGAAGGAATATGGCACAAAAAATTAAACAATATTAATTAAATATATCAAACAGTAACATCAAAATTTTCTCGGAAGAAGCAAAAACAACTACAATCATATTAAATGAATAAACGTCTACACATTTTAAATGCATTGTTGAAATAAAACAAAACAAACCTGTAACAAATGGTACAAACAAAACAAAGCGAGATGAAAGAACCACACACAGAAATGAAAAACAAACACACATATTTTACGGCATCGTACTGATGACCATGTTCTGGCAAATGAACAGCAAAAAAGTGCAGTCATTCTGAAAATAGTCAAACAATTGCAAAATATTGTACATAGCCATGTCCACTAGTCGTAAGGAAAACACCATCAAGCCTCAGTATAAGGATGGTTGCTAACATTTATGTGTTATAATGTTGTAGAGTTGTTTTTGGCACGGAGATTAAAGCTTCCAATTACCATCCTGATGAATTTGATATTGATGTATTATAAACCGTCCAATAAGTCTTGATCTGTTGTATTGCATATACTCTTCATACACGTTAATTCAATGTTAAGAATGTAAACTTAACATTTATTCAATGCTAACAAAGTTTTACTGTAACATTTATTCAATCTTGATGGATTGTATTTGAAAATCGTTGTATTCCAGTCTTGCTTTTGCATTTATTTAATGTTGATGGATTGTATTTGAAACTAGTCTTAGCTATTCTAGTTTTGCTTTTACACTTATTCAATCATGTTGGATTGTTTAAGTACATGTATGTATTCTAAGCAGTTTTAGTCTCACTTGTACATTTATTTACTCTCCACTCAAAAATAGTTATGCTATTACATTTATTCACTCATGACGGATTGTATTTGAAAGTACCCGGTAGCCTTAGACTGGTACTAAGTCTCAGAAATTCCAGTCTGACAATTACATTAATTCAGTTTTGATAATCTATTTGCAAATTAGCAATTCAAGTCTTACTATTACAATTATTCAATCTTGAAGGAATCTACACTCTTAGTGAAGGATTTTACTGCTCACACATTGATTACTTAGTACTTTTCAAGATTCTTTGGGTAAACCACATTTAAAGCACTGTAGTCAAATCACTGCAATCGAATCAGTGGATCTCTTTGGTACTGGGCTGTTCTCGGTGCACAGCATCTTATATCAAAACAATACTGATTGCAATTCAGATTTTGCATGATTTGAAAATATTTAAGGTCCTAGCATATTTCTGATAATTTGAACCAGGCCACTTTAATTAGATGAATTGAGAGCCCATAGTAACTTTTTAGTAACTCTCAAATATGCTTTCTGTTGTGACACTATTTGTTGAACAATACAATTACATAATCAAACCAGAAAAATCTGATTGATTTAGCTGGCTCTTGCATGACCCTTGAACCCATCCATAGCTCGGTCAGTTCCAGTCAGGCGGGAGAATGCAATGGTGACATCGATGGGAGACACACTGAAAAAACAACATAAGGCAACATCAGTTTAAGTGAGTGAGTGAGTTGAGTTTTATGCCGCTTTTAGCAATATCACAGCAATATCACAGCGGTGGACACCAGAAATGGGCTTCACACATTGTACCCAATGGGGGAATCAAACCCAGGTCTTGGTCATGACAAGCGAATGATTTAACCTCTAGGCTACCTACCCCACCACCCCGCATGTAGAATGTATTGCAGTGACATACTGCTGTTCCAGCTAATAGTGCTAATTCTCTCCAGCTAATTGTATCACTTCTTCACTGATCTCAATGCCACTTTGATCATTTGGCTTACTGAAGCCCTTGGATGTCCTTTCCAATCCTTTCTAATCAAGCACCAGGTCTGTTTACAATCCTTGACTGAACACCCCTTGTTATTTGATAGGGTGAGGTGAGGTGAAATTTGGTTTTGCGTCGTTCTTGAGAATTTTTCACTCATATGATGACATGCATGCGTGTGTACGTGTATGTGCGGCTGCTTGTACTAGCCCAGACTTAAGCTGGTTTTATAGTGCTAGCCCACTGAGATACCATGCCGCAGTGAAGCATGAATACCCCACTCAGACACATTATACTGACTCCGAGCCGACCAGTCCTTGTTGTACCCATTAATGCCGAGAGCCAGGCAGGGACCGACAAGTACCATATTTTAACGTCTTTTGGTATGACGCGGTCAGGGATCAAACCCACGACCTTCCGCTCTACCACACCACGGAGGTGGTCTATTTGTTAGGGTATGGGAAAGATGTTAACCTCATATTATCCCAGGTTCAAAATTAACATGTCCAACACAAATTCAGGGGGACTTGTGACATTTCCTTGTTGACCTCCACTTTTACCAGATTAGTTTTTCTGACTTGCAAAAAGTTGAATGCACTTATGCCACTTACTTTTTAAACCAGGTGAGGAAGTACATAATTCGTGGCATGAGTATTTTACACCTGTTGGTGAGGACGGCATGGATTGTCTTGTCTGCCACGTAGTCTTCCGTTAATGGTGGAATCATCCATCGGGACAATCTGGCAACAGGACCAGTTCTTGCATAAACTTGGTAAAACTTGCTAAAACTATATTGCTATGCTGCATGAAGACTAAAAAATTATAAGGTAAACAACATAAGATAAAAACCTAGTTGCACCAGCCAAATTCCAGTTGCACTGCTTTTATTGCAATATGTAATGAAAGAAATATGCTATTGAAGTACTAGTAATCAAAGTTTAGAAGAAAATTATCTGACATAATAATGCTTGTAATGTTAGATTTACATTTGCTTTATTTCTCAAAAAGTTAGACTAATAACTAGATTGCACTTTGTAATATTGGGTTGCACCAGTGCAAGTACATGTAGTCTGTTTCACAGTCCCTGAACCACATTAATTTCCCTACTGCCAAGCCCTCTCTGCAGTGCTAAAGCCCTAAATAGAGCAAGTCTAGATTTCCTCAGGTTCAGGGCTCCCTAGGGCTCCTTTTCAATATAAATGGGCTTGTTTGTTACTATCAAAATAATATATATTCAGAGACTAAGCCTTAGTCTACAGTGCAAGTAACAAAGCACTAAATCAAGCCCTGTCATGTTTTGTAGGTCTTCATATATTTCTTACTGTGTTTGTTGCCCAGAACTCCGGTGAAAAATATAAAATGGAAGTTGTACTCTTAAAGATCTACCAAATTTGATTATGCCATATGCTAAATTAATGATATTAATCAAAATGTTTTCACATGTAGCAAAAAATTAAGATTTCCAGATTTTGAAATCTTATTGAAACATTTTACAACAATATTGCAGCTGACAGTTTCTTAATTTCAAAATAATTCATATTTCATTCCATTTCACAAGACAGTTGAATCATGAAATATATTGCAATACAGTAGAATACTTTTATAACGAACACGGATATAACGAACTGATGGCTAAAGTGAACTGTTTTAAAAGTCCCGAATAAACCTTATATTATCACATAAAAAAGTGAAAAAAGTAACGAACTAATTTCAGTGGTCCCTTGGAGTTCGTTATAAAGGTATTTTACTGTACATAAACAGTAATCAATGTCAATTAAAATCACAGCGACCATTGAAAATACTGTTCTACCCCGCATGAAAATCTGGGCTGAAATTGGTGTTCAGCAAGTGGTGTGCTGATACACAATACTAAGTTAGTGAAGAATAAGTCAGAAGTCTGTGCCTCCTTCAGGAGATCCTTTCAAGGCTAAGAGATGCAACTCTGTAAAGTTCTTCAGCCCAGAGGGCAAACAGTATCACTGTGTTTTCAGCAACGTTACTAAACACTAACATCTTACCTTGACTCCAGCCCATCAAACATTGTGTTATCGATGTGGTATGGGTGCACACTCGTCACCTTCACTCCCGTCTTGTTCAGGACACGAAGCTCATCAATTAAAGCTTCAGCCATCCCTGTCGAGGCAAACTTAGCACTAACGTAATCTCCAGCTCCGCTCAATCCCATGAGCCCGAGCACTGAGCTGATGCTCACAATGTGGCCCTTGTTGTTGTCTATCATTGCTGGCAGGAATGCCTTCAGGGTCTGGAATATATTAATCCCTTGATATATGCCAGTAGTTCAACCCTGGTGTTTGGGGTTGAATTGACATAAACAGGTATCCAAATGTACTCATGCACTGTGTTTTTTAATGAAACAATACAATACAGTTTGGTTTAGTCTGGTTCATTCATCACCTTGAAGGGGTGGTGGGGTAGCCTAGTGGTTAAAGCGTTAGCTCGTCACGCTGAAGACCCGGGTTCGAATCCCCACAAGGGTACAATGTGTGAAGCCAATTTCTGGTGTTCCTCGCCGTGATGTTGCTGGAATATTGCTAAAAGCGGCGTAAAACCAAACTCAGTCGGTCAGTCATCACCTTGAAAATTGTTCTCACTCTCAGATGACCTCTTTGAGGGGCATTGTCTGGTCCAGACTTGATTATTTACACACACCCGCCATATAGATAGACATAAACTTCACTCACTCACTCTTAGAGTGGCATTTTAGAAGCTGGGAAGTACAATTTTGACAAACTTTATGGTGAGTGAATGAGTGAGTGAGTTTTGTTTTATGTCACACTCAGCAATATTGCAGCTATATGGCTGTAAATAAATCGAGTCTGGAACAGACAATCCAGTGATTAACAGCATGAGCATCGATTGGGCAAACTTAATGGATATAGTGTCCTCATCAGCAGTGTATGAACTACTTGCAATAGTTCTCTGGCCAGGAGGGATTGTAAACAAAAAACCTTGCCAGTCCTCATCAGTTTTCACTCAAACATGATCCTGATTCAAACCCAAGATCCAAGGTTTCTGGTATGCCCAAGGGAAATAACTCTGTTGAGTGAATTGCAGTGTTGAGTGAATTGCAGTGCCTTCGACAAATGAGCCACCCATACCCCCAACAATGCAAAGAAACTGAGAGATTTTAAGAGACTGGTCCAAATGCACAAGTCCAAGATCAAATCGTAAAATATTGCAAAAGAACAGAACATCAAAAGTTGTCTCATAATGGCGTAAAAAAAGAAATGAATGGGAAGGGTGTGGCACAGTGGGGTGGAAGCACGAGAAATGTAAACAAACCATTGTGCGTGCGCAGTGGTTTGTTTTCATTTCTCACGCTTCCGCCTCACTTCTGTGCAAATGACCCGTTAAACGAGCATTCATTAAATGTGATGGTACTCGTGGTCCCGAGGTAGAGCGTCCGCCAATTACGTCACAAATTAACGAAGTCAGTAATCCTGCGAAGCGCGTGTTAGAGCCCCAGCAGTGCTAATTAATCCGAAAAAGTACAGTACTCCCATTATAAAAATCATCAGACAACATTAAGTCCAGTCCTTCCCAAACAACAAGACACATCAGGTGCTTGGCTGTCCCAGTCATCCGTAACTAAAACAAATATGATTTGTCAGATCTTGTTGAACGCGCAAAATGACTACGTACCCAGAAATGTGCGATGACATTGACCTGTAGTGTTTTGACAACATCATCATCACTGCTGGTGAGTATCTGGTTGCCGTAGACAACTCCAGCATTGTTGACAAGAATTGTCACATCCCCGATGGTGTCCTTGATTTGTTTGGCCTGTTTGAAATAATCACAGAACAAGTGATAATATAGGAGAGTACAGAATATATTGCTCAACAGTTTAGACAGATCTTCATTTATTGAACAATTTGCAAAAATTAAAATATTTTACATATGCTTCAAGAATGCTGTATTTAACAAGCAATAGCAATTAAAGTTTTGGCAAAATTATTCATGTTAATTAGGAGATAAACCTAGTGTGTTTGAAAATCAGAGACATGCTTTACTGAATTGATGGCGACTAAATTTCAATTGGAACCGAACGCGTAGCGTGAGGTTTCAATTGAAATATTTAGTCGCCATCAATTTAGTAAAGCATGTCTCTGATTTTCAAACACACTAGGGTTATCTCCATTCTACCATGACACATTTAAAATCGAACTTCCTCACTCTGCGGAAGACACTGCGTAATCCGGCATGGGACGAGAGGCGAATTGAACTCGTCTGTGAAGGGAGCGGTAGGTGCCGTTCGTATTTTTTAACATTACAACATAGCAATATTCTGTCCAAAGAAATCAAACTACTGTTTATTAAATGCAATTATGTAAGGTACCCAAATCTTGTTGTTTTTTTCATCCCAACTCCACACGACTAAAACCAGCCTATTGTTTTGCGTGCCGTGAAACTGTACCCCCCTGGCCACACTATAATGGAATCGTCTGACCTACTTATTTTCTTCGAAGTAGACAGTTACGCAACAGTTTGAAATGGCGGCCGAGCCAGTGTTTACATTTTGCGAAAGGTTGAATTTGAAGTGACAGTGGACAATACTTGACTGACTGTCGAACCTGAACCCTGCAGAATCGAAGAATAGATCCTTTCCTGATCGACCTACGACCTGTAACTCATCAAAGACTGTTGATTTTTATGACCGGCCGATTATGATTTCGCATGCACTGCCTCCACCCTGGCATGCGACAAAAGAGTGACAGTGTTGCTGCTTAGTGTACATGCGACTAACTTGTGATTCCTTGGAACTTTGTTTTCATCGTTTGGGACTGGACTGTGTCCAAGCGTTTTTCAAAGTAGATGAACATAACAGTGACAACCTTGCGGGGAAGCTGGCAGAGAGCAGAATTATTTTGTGAACGATGCAACGGGATATGATGGAGTATGACTATGAGTGGCATAAATGTGGTGTTTCGCCAGACCGTTAGATCTATCTTGCAAATTTCCCATTCTAAACGGAATTAAATATACCATTTACCAGGTAGGTAAATGTTTACTAATGTTTTGCTGCATATTTTGTATAGATAGGGATGTATTTTTACAAGGCTTTCTGATTTATATGTTAGATATTGTTTTGTTTATGTTTGGGGCTGTGTATTGTAATTGAGTTTGAATATTTTTATAATAGAAGGTAATATGATAGTGAGGTTCCCTCATAATTGTGGGGGGGAAATCATATAACTGTATTTTTCGAGTTTAATAAATGTTTCATCAGCATTTCCATCACGTCTGTTGTGTTGATATTAGTCATGTTGGTGGTCAAGCTGAAGTAGTGGGGCAGTGTTCTATACGTGCGCAGTGAAGCGCAATGAAATCAAACGCATTTTTAATCCAAAAATTTCCAATTGCCTATGTGTAAAATTCGAAAGTCAGCATCAAAATCTATGGAGTTGTTGTTATGATCCGCCATCATTGTGGTCAAACGGAAGTAGTTCTCACAATAAGATTTGTTAATGCGCGGTGAAGCGGCCTTACAATCAGATGAGCGTCAATCCACAATTGATGCCGTCTGATTTTTCTGAACAACCAATCAGAATCTAGTATTTTCTTGATTCATGGTAGAATGTAATAATAACAAGTGTTTGCCACTGGCAATGTCCCCTGCCGCTAAAGAAGAATGAAATATTTATAACATATTTTTTATTTACTACTTTTTATTTTTTGGTCACATACAAGATGCCTGAAATGACTGGTGTCTGCATAATCACCCAATGTAGGCTGTTGACATAATTGAAGACATTTGGGTGCAATGTTTTATGAGATATCATGTTTACATAAGTTTGAAAATAGGTCAAAGTGTCATGGTGACCTTGAAGATAAGGTCAAGGTCACCCAAATCAACTGGTGTCTGCATAATCCCCCAATGTAGGCTGTCACCAAACTTGAAGACATTGGGTACAACAGTCCATGTTATATATCGCAATAGCAAGAGTTTGAAAAGTGGCCAAAGTGCCGTGGTGACCTTGAAAATAAGGGCAAGGTCACAAAATGTTTTATGAGATATCATGTTTACATAAGTTTGAAAATAGGTCAAAGTGTCATGGTGACCTTGAAGATAAGGTCAAGGTCACCCAAATCAACTGGTGTCTGCGTAATCCCAAAATGTAGGCTGTCACCAAATTTGAAGACATTGGGTACAACAGTTCATGAAATATCGCGTTAATAAGAATTGGGACGTACGTACGTATGTATGGACGCTGCTGAATACATTACGGTGGGGGACGGAAAATTATGACCATATTACATCACAACTTACATTCTAAAATTTGCATTTGTTCTTCAAATATTCAAGGAAGAGAGTGCAGAAGCTCAAATTTCACATTTCATATTTAAAATCAAACTTGACAGAAATAGCAATGACAATGAGAGTATTTCCCAAAATGCCACACCTGTTAGTATGCACACAATCACTCCAGTCAGAAATCAGAATGATGGTCTCATTCCATGGGAATTATACAACCAAAGCCGCCTCTGAGGCACCAGAAGGTTAACAGTCACCATATCATTCTATGTGGTACCCACTTGCTGATGAGTGAACAGAGGCATGGAAACAACTCAAAAGAGAAAAGAAACTTTTCTTGGCTTCATCCAGCCGACCAAAAATCTCAAGGATTATAACCATTATTGTAAAAAAACTCACGCAATCATAGATATTTTCTTTGTTGCTGACATCACAGATCATGTGTGAACATTTCACTCCCAGTTCTTTTATTTCTCTTTCTGTTTGTTCAAGAGTGTTTCCATGACGACCCCACAGTATAATCTGAAAAATATAATTAAAACAACTGGACTGGCGTCATACTGTAAGAAATATTTTGGAACTTCTCCTTTTCGGCTTTGCTTTACAAATTGGTAATTAACTTCTGTAAATCGTTAATTTCGTTAACAATATATTGTTAACAATTTAGCAATTATTTTATCATTCTTAGTGTCAATGCTGTACTGGTGACAGACAGGTGTACAGTATGTTGTTTATATACTCCCTTACACAACAACGTTCTGAATATTCAGGGGCGGATACAGCTTTTTGAGAAAGGGAGGGTGCACACTATTGAGAAAAGGAGGGGTGCACACTTCATTTTCACCCGAGTTTCAATGGTCATTTAACAAACTTTCAGCACAAAAGGGGGGGTGCGCACCCCTGCACCCCCCCTCTGGATCCGCCTATGTTCATTAGTATGATGCATTATTATTTTTTCAACCCACGGTCCCAAAACAAGCTCATAGGTTGTATTATATTATTTTCTTCAAACTACTACAGAATAACATCATCAAGGTTGTTTTGGTGTTTTTTTTCAATTTTCGACCTGAGCAAACCTCAAACCAATAAATGAGCGGTAATGTCCGGGGAACAGCACGTGTTGGTTGTAAACAGAGGTAGGTCCTTTTTAGAAACCTGTACCTGACCACAAGAGTATCACAAGAGCATAATTCGGTTCCTGTGGATCACACTGTCAGCGTGAAATTGTCACCTAAACACTGACCTGTGAACAATTTATGGGTATTAAAGAGAATGAATATATTTAACCCAGTTGTCTATGGCGCCTAGCGTCTTCTCCTCTTATTCTTCAATTTCATGTCGCATGTTTATAGTCAAGCCCATTCTTACTTTACTCATCTACCCGTGTGAACCGGGTTGGAATTGGTCTTCAGCAACCCTTGGTTGGTTGACTTGGTTGATACATGTCATGTCATCCCAGTTGCATAGGACGATGCTCATGCTGTTGATCACTGAATTGTCTGGTCTTGACTCGATTATTTACAGACGGAATATCGCTGAGTGCGGCGTTAATAAACAAACAAAACTTTAGTCATCACTGGAAACATCTGTTCCATGAGTTTCCATTCCATAGCCGACACAAACCCAAGATGGTTACTTTTCATTGTCTGTGTCGACTTTTGATATGAGATTTCGTATTGTGAGTACCCAAAGGAAACATAGTCATGCACATATAGGAACCTAACTTATTCACCCTCAAATGACTGTTATCTACATTATAATGCCAAACAATTTAAATGTACTATATATATGTACGGGCGGTGGGGTAGCCTAGTGGGTAAAGCGTTCGCTCGTCACGCCGAAGACCCAGGTTCGATTTCCCACATGGGTACAATGTGTGAAGCCCATTTCTGGCGTCACCCACCGTGATATTGCTGGAATACTGCTAAAAGTGGCATAACACTAAACTTACTCACTCACTTATATATACCCCCTATTTGACCGAATTACCTCCCTTTGTTGTGCTTTCTGAATGTTAGGAGAGAATACTTCCTTTCCAATTCGTCCTTCAAAGGAAAGAAATTCCATTTAACTTTTGAATGCTCAAAACATTACAAAAGCTGGTACACAATATTTTGGTACACAATATTTAATACGATTTTTACACATGGCATAACCCGATTGACAGGCAATTAAATGGTCTGTCATGCAGACCCTGAAACAAACATATCCAAGAAAGCCCCTGCAAGTCTAGAACATGATTACTGATATAACTCCAGATTACAGTTTCTGAAAATGAGAAAAAGTCACTGGACTCCTTTTCATTACATTCTATTATTGTAATCTTTGAAACTTATTTCTGTAACATATGTCCGTTTCAGTGAGTGAGTGAGTATGGTCTTACCCCTCTTATAGCAATATTCCAGCAATATCACGGCAGGGGACACAAGCAATGGGCTTCACACATTGTACCATGTCAGGGAGGGTGCACACTTCATTTTCACCCGAGTTTCAATGGTCATTTAATAAACTTTCAGGAGAAAAGAGGGGGTGCGCACCCCTGCACCCCGCCTCTGGATCCGCCTATGATATTAACTATCCATGATCGTTCCCTAAACCAAACCACTCTGGTTCAAGCAGTCAAATTACAACAGCATCTTAGATAAGTCCCATCTTCAAGGGCAGTTAATTTTGTCTGGTCTGAATCTGCTTGCATTTTGTGAGGGAGCAGGCAGTTATTTCAAACACTGATGACAAATCATAACAGCAGACATATTTAATGATATTTTAGCTTGATAAGAATAAGAATCTACATTGAAACGTCGCCTATGCAATAAACAAGAAGTTGTCATCCATAAAGTTGTATGTTTCATTTTTGACTCACCAACTTCTATAATGCTGATTAAACAAATACTTGATGAAAGACAAAATGAGTGAGTGAGTGAGTGAGTGAGTTTAGTTTTACGCCACACTCAGCAATATTCCAGCTATATGGCAGCGGTCAGTAAATAATCGAGTCTGGACCAGATAATCCAGTGGTCAACAGCATGAGCATTGATCTGCGCAGTTGGGAACCGATGACATGTGTCAACCAAGTCAGCGAGCCTGACCACCCGATCCCGTTAGTCGCCTCTTACAAGCATAGTTGCCTTTTGTGGCAAGCATGGGTTGCTGAACACCTGTTCTACCGGCGGATCTTCACGGGTCGAAAGACAAAATACCAAAATGATGCAGGTCATAAATGTGGGTGAGAACTACAAGGAAGTGGATGGATGGTGCTGCCAAACCATGGAACACAATCAAAACAAACGCGAAATTTGAACCCACGGTCAACAGGAATTTGCAAAGTAAACTGTGATGCCCTAAAAGTTTTGGTCACCAGTTGTCACAAGTCATTAGGAACATCTTAGGAGGTGCCAGGAGGGATTTTGAATTTGCTCACAAACATATGCAAACAAAATAAACCATCAAATAAAGAAGTAAAATGTACCCTCATTTAAACAAGTTTCACGCACTGAATTCTGCATTAAACATGTTAAAACAGTGAAATGTAATGCTCTTGAACAAATGTAGTAAATGTGGTAATCTAAACATACACAAACATACTAAGCAGTTACCAGACACAAATGATCAGCTGATCTGACAGTTATTGGCAAATTCGATGGTCTGTTTTGATTGGTGCCAAATTTGTGAAAGACTGCTCTATAATTTGTCAGCCAAACTGAATGAAAGAAAGAAAATTGCACTACTTTACCATTTACCTTCTATAAATGTATTCCTTATAAACAAACAATTATCAAATTTATCAAGCAAACTCCTGAATACTTTGTATTTCTGTTGTCAAAGAGGACATTGTTAGCTGAAATCAACCACTGAAATATCAGATTGAAATGCAAATTAGGTTTCTGAATTTAATACTTGTTATACATTCACTATTTACTAAGTTTACTGACATTTACACAAACATAAATACATAGATTCACACACATAATTTACTTACATTCACACATATAAATACATACATTCACAAATACAGTCGAGCACCGTTGTGTCGAACTCTGATAACTCAATATCTTGGTTGTCTTGATATAACATCTCGGTCCTGGCAAAATCCTTCATAATTTATCATTATTTAAGCTCTTATAACTCAATACGGATGTCTCGATATTTCGAATATAATTTCATGGTCCCAACAAGCAAAATCACCATTTTAACTCGATATTTGCAAAGAAACTCAATATTCACCTACCTTTCGTGGGCAAGTATTCCTCTGAACTGAGGTTGTTTCCACACGTTTACACACGGTGCGGCATGAATCAAAGGGATGCGGTAGTGTGAACTACTTAGGGCTAGTTGAGTTGAAGGTGTCACTTGTTTGTTATTTAATCAGGACTAATTAAGAAGGATGTAATTAGGAAGAACTCACTGTTATGACTAAACACTACTGATAACGGATTATAGTTTCAAATCAAAACATACTGAGAAGCGTTTTGTTTTCTTTCATAGTGATATGTGATGATATGCCCTGGTCGGATGTCTCGAAGTTCGGATAACTCGATATTTTTTTCTTGGTCCCATGAATATCGAGACAACGGTGCTCGACTATACATAAATCTTTGCAAGTTTTGTGAAATTGTTCTAACATCGTTGAGTATTTTATGCATTACTTGCTGCCAAGATACCAAATAAGCAATTAATATACAGTAAAATCTGTCTATTACGGACTGGCCTTGGACCGACTCATTTCTCTGGATTGTAAGGCAGTCCGGATTAGACAACTTTTGTCTGTTACTGTAGACACTGCCTCGAGGAGTTACCTCCTTTTGTTAAGGACAACAACAACTTGAATTGTTCTTTCTTGTTTTTTATTTATACTCAATATATTATTTATACTTTCATTGGAAAAAAGTCTTCATTGCTTCTGCCTCTGTATATTTCCACGTAATAAATCATTTCAGTCATTAACCATTGTGAACAGAAGTAACAGAGATGTTTATTCAACGGGCTCTTATTTTAGTCAGCTCGTTCAGACTACAAAGCATTGTTCTCATATCAAGTTGATTGATGGGACTGTTATTTTAGTCTGTAATCTGTAATTGAGAGAGTCCGGATTATAAAGCAGCTTTAATGATAAATTAAGAACAATTTTGCCGGGACTCCGAGAGTAGTCCGGATTATGGAGAAAACCGGATTACAAAGAGTCCGGATTTAACAGATTCCACTGTATCAATACGTGAGTTTAAAAGGAACACTGGTAGGTGTTACCAATTAACAAACTTTACTTTGATTATTTATTCATGAGAAGTTACGGTTACATATTAAGTAACAACTCTGGCCATTGTCTGGAAAGATGGGTGCTAAATTGTTTTCATTATTGTTCAGATGTTTTCAAAGAAACAGTAGTTCGGATATGCAATGCAGTTAGCACCACCTGACAATTGTATATATATTTTGTGACCACTCCATACAGAGTTCGGAAAACATAACTTAACAAAATTGTGTTTGGTTTCAATTTGACATTTGAGACGTCTGCTTTGTCTTAGTCCAAAACTGAATAGATTATATCAGCTGCACTGTTAACTGACACACTTTTTCACTGTGTACTTAAAGCGGTGCAGACGTAGAGCCCGATATTGACTTATGGGTTTCAACTTGGACTAAATTCGTTCACTGCAAGTCTCGCCTATAATACGATCTATTCATCAGTTTCATATAGTTGTTGAGTTTAAAAGATCAGTGCCATCAGAGATCAGTGAAGGTGTGTCATGTCCCTGATAACACTAAATCGCTGAGTGAGTTGTTTCCATGGACACGCCTTACAATTTTACATTCGCACAAAGCCTGGCGAATAGCATGAAGTTAAACCGATGCAATAGTGAGAGAGATTTGCTGGCCCTTATCCCGTTCCCAAAGAGGCCCCCTCTTTAACCACCGCATGAAAATGAAATACAGAAAATATTGAATGTTTACGTGTGATGGGCGTCTTCTTGCAAATCCGATGGCGATCTTCTTGCCAATTCCTTTTCCGCCCCCAGTTACCAATATGACATCTTCACTTATATCCTTAAAATTAGGTGGAAACATGTAAGATACCAAACTGCGAAGGACAGAGTAAGTAACTTTTATCAACAGAGTAGCTGTCTGGGCAAGAGTTAATAACATCCTAACACAAATTTAGTATCATAACATTTTTTCCACCATTTTGAACTTTGACCGAGTGAAGACCTTCACCTTTCAAGTAACAACAATAACATTTATGATTTGGTTCATCATAATCAATGGTATTATGATTTCTTTTTCCAGCGTGTTATATTATTTTTTGTATGGTTCTTTAAGAACCTAGGAGTTTCGATTATAGTGAACATTACTAATTTGATGGGTAATTAAGCGATGAGCATTCATTATGTAATTATACATTAATAAGTCAATATTCATGTTCTGTCTTTCTACAGTCATATTAAACACTGATATTTGTATCACGTTTATATTATTATGAAAACTATATCTATTAACCAAGTTTAGATCAGTCTAAGCTTTCTACAATCTCTCCTGTATGGTTATGAAACATATAAAATGACACACCCCTGGGAAATACTTACACCATTTAACCAATCAAAATACTGATCTTGTGATTTTGAACCAATCAAAACATACGTAGGAAACTTGGGGTTTCCTTCATTGAACAAGATGGTTTCCGATTCTATTTGCGCCGCCGCCAAACTGTAATATATAGAGACGGATCCCAGCTATTGGCGGCATGGCTGACCCGAATCCAAATAATCCGATCGTTTTCTTCGATATCCAAATAGGAGGTGCTGTAAGTGTCATTTTGACATCTTTCATCGGGAACTATGGCACTGGAGAAATTTCGTTCAGTGTGAATATGTTGCCTTTGTTTTTGTTGTACGGGAAAGATAGTAGGACACATAGTCGTGGATTTGGGGCTTCAGAACGACTGGGCTACCGCAAGAGAAATCCGTTTGGTTAATGTACCTATTAATCTTCCATTTTGCAAAAGTCGTTTCTGTCAAACCACATTTTGATCACCTTTAATATGTTTGTACAAATTTTATTTTGCTAAAACTGGCGTATGAACTCGATCAAGATGAAGATTTAACAAATGTAAATGTATAAATGTAAAAATAAATAAAACCTACGGATGACAATTCGAAAATTTGTTTGAAAATCATCAAATGTTCTGTGTTTCATTTAGGATTCAGGAAGAATCACCTTTGAACTGTTTGCAGATACAGTTCCCAGAACTGCTGAGAATTTCAGGTTAGTGATGCAGAAGTTTTAAATAATGGCAAGTTACAACATACGTCAGAACAAGGGAAATATCTTTTCAGACATGAAGGACTTCCAAAGAGTTAAACCAATCCTAATAATCCTGATAATAACATATTAGTTGACAATATCATGAAAAATAGTGAAATCAGCTTCATAATGAGTCCATGTTGACTATGATTATACATGCAAATATTTCTTGAAATATTTAAGAAATGTAAATACCTATTTTGTATGCTTCTGCTGTGTTCTACCTTACAGGCAGTTCTGCACTGGAGAACACAGGAGAGATGGTGTTCCTATTGGCTACAAGAATACCACTTTTCACAGGTAAGACAAGGCAGCCTACATCAATATTAAGAGGTCTCTGATGGAACAGGGTTACGTTAGTCTACAATGATGATCTTGCATTTTTCTTTTGTAATATGAATATTGTAATTCAAAGCATTCTTAGGTTTCTTCTCTTCCATTGGTGTATTGATGTTAAATCTTTTGTAAATATATTGTTTGCAGAGTCATTAAAGACTTCATGATTCAAGGTGGAGATTTTGTGAAGGTAAGGAACCTCAGTGGATGTCAGCTGTATTCTTAATAATTTGAACGACCTGACCAACCTCTGGCCCAGTTTGTAATTTTTTGTAAACACCCACTAAGTCTAAAGCCTAAAATTTACACAATAATCTGTATTTTCTTGTGAATATTACAGATTTGTTTACAGTAAAAGCAGCACAGAACTAGTAACTATTGTCTAAATGGTTTCAGTTTTAGAATGTTTGAACTAAGTTTAGTCACCATATTCACCACTGCTTAGGACTCAAATTAGCGACATGTATAAGTTGTTCTCTGTGTATACAAAAACCTCACCAAAATATCCATAACCCCATCATTTGTACGTGTAACAGAGGGTCTCGCGTAGACATTACTTTGATACATAAAATCAACTGTTGGGGTGGCTTAGTTGTCTCCCTTACTTGTGCCAGGATATGCTGGTCATGGGTTCTCATTGCACCATGATGTTCATAGGATTCACTACTTGGGTAGATATCTACATTTCTTCCTATGATGAAACTGATCCATGCTGTGAGTCAGGAATGGACAACATTGGTCATATTCAACTAATCTGCAGCTCATATCAGACAAGTGCCTTAAGATGTGACATAAAATCTTAACTCACTGGTGGTTATGTAAAACTGGATTTGGTAATAAAACTGTCTAAATTTGTAACAATAATAAAAATAAACAATTAACAAAGAGCAAAAATCTTGAACCAACATTAACCCCTATTACCTCATGTCACCTGTGAAGAACTGGGTTAGAAGTGGTCTTCAGCTACCCATGCTTGCCATATATGGCAACTAATGCGATAAGGTTGTCAGTGTCTCTGACTTGGTTGACACATGTCATCATATCCTAACAGAATAGATCGATGGTCATGGTGTTGTCCATTGTGTGGTCTAGACTCGATTGTGTCAATTATTTACAGACAGCTGCCATATAGCTTTTATATTGCTGAGCATTAAAAAAGCCAACAAAAACAATTCACTACTTGTCATAAATGTTGTCTTGTTTATCATGGTCTAGGGAGATGGCACTGGCTTGATGAGCATCTACGGAGGGGCATATGCGGATGAGAATTTCAAACTTAGGCATGAATCAGCTGGTATACTTAGTATGGTGAGTAAACAAATGAAAAGAACGCCCAAGAAGTATTGAAAGGGACATTGGTTTGGGGGGCAAAGGCGTTCCAGTCTCAGATGCAACGATGACACCCCTATATGTTCATGACAGGAGTCTATGATCATGAATTTCATATTTGTCCAAAATAGAATCCATTTTTGTTATGAAGTGGTAAACGTCATTGACCTGCATCACTTCCGGTGTTCTTCTCACATTTATCAACTGTGACTGAAATGCTTATGAGATTAACTCACTAATGGTATTAAAGAATCATCATAGAATATACTTCAAGAAACTCTTGATCTTGGATGTTTTCCGAGTCGATTGGGTTGGTGGCGCCAAGCATCTTACGGCCCATCTTTACTACATGCTTGCCTTCCCAAACCATAGCAACAACAGGTCCAGATGTCATGTACTTGACAAGGCCAGGGAAGAATGGCTTGCTTGACAGATCTGCATAATGTTTTTCAAGGTGTTCCTTGGAAGCCTGCATCATTTTGCAGGCAACCAGTTTGTAGCCACGACTTTCAAACCTCTTCATGATTTCAAGATGTTGGAGAATATTCAAGTCTGAAGTTTATAAGACCTAAAACTGACAAGTGCAGTCATAAGCTCAAACCTGCTGAAGTTCTGACTTATCCATGCTTTATTTATTTGTCCAGGCCAACAGTGGTAAAGATACTAATGGATGCCAGTTTTTCATCACGTGTGCAAAGTGTGACTTTCTGGATGGAAAACATGTTGTGTTTGGTAAGTAACTAAACATACAGTATACAGAAAACATTCACTGCCATCTGTCAACTTTAATATTCAGTTCGTGTAAGTCATCATTCATCATCATATATTTCTGTATCTTCCTCACATGTTGCATTTGAAACTTTTAAAATGTTACACCTAAGACCATCATCATCTTGAAAATGTAAAATTACAATAGCCTAGGTGTTGTTAATGTCAGGGTAAAAGTACAACAGAGTAATCAATTCATCGACCTTCAATCATTCAGTACATCAATATATATACTCATCTGTTATAATCAAAATCTGTAATGATTCTGTGTGTCAATTTGTTTAGGAAAGATTGTTGATGGACATTTGGTGATGAGGAAGATAGAGAATGTGCCGACAGGACCAAACAACAAGCCCAAGCTGCCGATTACCGTGTCACAGTGTGGGGGAAATGTGATATCGCATTAATCATGGGAAAGAATCACTTCATTTCATTCATTGGACAGAAAACAATTGTCAGCTCGTACAATAATTCTACGCAGGTAGCTTGTGTGGAGATTCTTCCATTACATGATTGACCCAGTCATCTAAAGTGTCTTGTGGAGTTGCCTCCCTTTGACATGCCAGGAACCTAAGGATATTGTTCCACCAAAGCAGTAAATATCTGCGACACCTTCATATTTCCTCCTCACTGCAAGCTGCCATGCCATGCCACCTGAAATACTGTTCCAAGTGGTGTAAGCAGCCCCCTGAGAAAGTGACTTTTATGATCATTATATTTCACCATTGATATGTACTTGTTTTGTTTTCGATGACTTGTAAACTGCCAATGGTTGAAACACAGAGATGGAATTAAAGAAGCTACCATCAAGGATTAAATGAACATACCGGAGAGCTTGTTTTGATCGTACCCACAAGATTATCATGGTTACCCACTCCATGTGTATATTCATCATTCCTTATGTCTTCACTGAATGTCAAAACATTTAAAAATAAATCAAGCCTTAAGGCCCTGTCACACCTTGACGATTTAGTCAGCGTATGTCTATGTATCTCTCTAAAACACTGGTATACACTGAACTTTTGATGTTTTTATTCAATGTTGGGTGTATATACAGTGTATTTATAATGACTTGGATGTATACATACGGATTAGTAACTTATATAGAACGTTTACTTTGTTGCAGTGGTATTACACCCTGCTTCACTAGCGGCAAGCGGAGAGTCATCACTCTGTAGGCAGTTTCTATCAAATTATGCTGGAGAGTAATAAACTCGCTCTGATATACCATGAGCATTGAACTTATACAAAACTTACCCATAACCTATTCGATGTACGCCAGCATATTTGCCAAATGTTTGATATGTCAGCATAAGCTCGCTAAATCGTCAAGGTGTGACAGGGCTTTTAGTTCAGCCATTGCCAGGATTCCTGGACCATTCTCCTCCTTGATTGTGCTGATAATAAAGTCAGACTCAAGTCAGCAAGTCAGTTTTATTCACATAGTATTCATCAGAACATAGTGTAGCATCTCTGACAAGAATCAACAAACCAGGACACAGAATACCCAGCAAATTGCACAATCCCTTAAAATGTACAATATGTCAGACAACTAATTGACACAAATATTTTCCTTAATTAAACATTATCCTAACTATCACTGAAAAACATGACTCTAAACTGTAATAATTCTAAGAATAGTAATTGATGAAGTCGATGTTGGTTACACAAACTCCGCAGTCTGGTGTGACCCAATGTCAGTTTTGTCCTTGCAGTAACTTGAACCAAACTGAAGTGGCAAGAAACGTTAAAGGCTATTTACAAGCATCAACATACGGATAGTTGTAAGGAAGCTGAAGCATTTCATCACCGGCTCAGACCAATGGACTCTTTGTTGTTTCGGGGGGACTTTCTTGGTCGCCAATTACAATGTGAAAGGGAGGGGAGATGGGTTGGGGGGAAAACATTTCTTTATTTGTCAGGGTTGGATCTGAGGACTCCTCAAGATGCTTATTGAAATACTGCTAAGATTATTATGCAAATGTTGTCCAAACACAGCAATTTTATTTTTAGGATTGTTTTGATATTAATTTTGCCAATATCTGTGTAGGCGCGCAACCAGTTATTCTTATGTGTGATTGAGGTCATATATAAACATGTCTGATAGGGCTGAATTGTCATGGTGCAACAGTTCTATATAATTATGTACATTTTTCTACTGGGGAAGAACTGTTTACAGGACAGCCAAAGTATAATATTTTGCTATTTAGATACATCAGGTATTGTTGACATTCATTTATTTAGGATGAGTTACATACATTGCTGGAAATGTTTAGAAAATATAAAATCACAACTTAATTGGGATGAGTGAGTATGGTTTTATGCGATTTTAGCAATATTCCAGAAACATCATGGCTGGGGACACCAGAAATGAGCTTCACACATCTGGGGAATAGAACTCGGGTCTTCGACATAGCGAGCAAACGCCTTAACCACTAGGCTACCCCACCGATCCCTTCTACTAGAGAAATGAGCTGAAACAATTACTGCACTTGTACACTGACACTGATGCACTCATGCTGACACAGCAATCTTTCCAGCAATGTCATAGCAGTCTGCAAGTAACCCAGTCTACCAGACAATCCTGTGATTGACATTATGAGGGTCGATCAACCTCACTGGGACACGATGACACGCATCAACCAGGTCAGTGACCCTGACCATTCGTATCCGTCATTCGCCTTTTACGACATGCATGGGTTGCTGGAGACAATTTCTAACCCTGATCTTCACAGGTGCTAATGCGTGTATGACAACTTGTACATGTACTGAAGCAGGTTAAATAGTACTTGCACACAGAGATACCATGTCATAGTTAAACATAGGACCTAAACTGCAATGGATTATGCCTATTCCAAGCAGGTCAGTCCCTGTTTTATTCCCTTAATGCGATGCACAAGGCAGGGTAAAAACAAGTACCATCTTTTGACATTTTTTTAATAACGCAGATGGAGATCGCTCTGCTGAACCACACTGAGTATTGATTCATGTCACTTTTACCCCTTGTCCAGCAATATCACAGCAGGGAACACCAGAAATGTGCTTCACACATTGTACATAAGTTGGGAATTAAAACTCAGGTACCACAAAGATGGATGATACAAGAAAAGGTACTCCATACATGAAGTATGTCATCAAAGCTCGATACATAACAATCAGTAGTTTCTGACAATTCACAAGGAATCATTTTAGCAGCTGATTTGACACTTCAAATATGTACATTTCAAGGAAGCTGTGCGAACAAATCAAGAAGGGGACATGTCAAAAAGCTTTGACCCTATTTATAGCTTCCAAAACTGGAATATCACATAATTATCTTTGCAACATCTTCAATATTAACATCATAACTATTTGTTAACAAATCTATTTGTGACTGAAGTACAGTTAAACTTCTAAATATAATAATATCGGCAGAAATAAACTAATGATATGCCAACACTTTCTGTCTGACACTAATGGGTAATCATTATCAAATAACTTTGATAACGTAACATATGTTACACAGTGGCTGAGCGGTCTAGGCGTCTGACTTTGTGTGCTGGCGATTAGGTGCCTGACTCTGAGGGTGTGGGTTCAAATCCTGGATGGGACTCAACCCAAAAAAGTACTAGAATCTGTACTTTACTAAGAAAGTGTAATCCCAAATATAACATATGTTACATTTGACCACTTTCTAAAATGGCATTGTGCATTTCATAACTTTGATAACATTCTGTTCAAATAATCTGAGAAACATTCTGTAAACAAGTCATCAGTGTTTCCTTCATGACAACTGAAGGAACACGGCAGGGATGTTGACTGACTGACTGACAACAACACACTAGTATACCACTTAAAAGAAGTTCAGGTCCAAACAATTCTTTCCTATTAGGCCAGACCAATTTTATTTCTTATTTTACGGATCCGCCTGTCATACTTTTTCAAGAATAATAAAAAAAAAATTAAAAAAATTTTCCCGCTCAAAAAATACAATCCTAATGTTTATATTGGCCCAAAATGTAAACTTACAAGAAAGACTTTTTTTGAAATTGTTTTTTGCCCCATATACACTTCATAAATTGCCAAAAGTAAAATACTTTGAGTATTTAGAAGGAATATTACTTTGACTGGTGATTTTATTTTTATTTTTTCCCTGCGTAAAACGAGAAAACAAGGACTGTTTGATTACAGTTCTCCGAAAGAATCATGTGGTCTTTGAATATTTTTGAGTGGTATATTTTAAAAGTTTTATATTAACGCAATAGAAACCCTTAATTCCATGCGAGGCCAATATAATGGGTCATCATTTTGAGACTTATATACTCGTGACTTTTACATGGTAGCTATTTTTAAAATTATGTCACATTATCGTCTAATGTTTATTTTGGAATTAACGCTACAATATATAATCAAAATGGCATGCATCTGAGGGTCTGTGACCACGATACCCAGCAGAGCAATAACAGCAACAATACTGTAGAGTCGAGTGTACATTTCTACCTTAAAGATGGGCAGCGAGTGCATGTTGTTTTGTGCTGTAAGCCATTTTAATCAGCTAAAAAGCTATTTGAAGACAGACCTGCCTTCATGGTGAAGACCTCTGTATGGAAATCAGCCAATAGAGTATATACATAAAGCATATTTAACCAAAGTGCCGTCAACAGACAAAACAGCACTAATCGTAAAAAAAAATATAATATTTTTTTTGTGGGGGGAAGGAGGAAAGGGAGGATACGATGCAAAAAAAAATCAGAATATTTGGCCAAAAAAAATATCAATATATATTGCAAAAGTTTCTGCCCTCAACGCACTTGTTTTTTTACAAGACTAGATTAATAAGCTAATGACAGGTCCCCTGTCAATATCAGGTTACCGGTGTAACATAACAAATGCAAAAAATATATATATATGTCTCCGAGGCACAATACACATAAGTCAACTCACACACGATCATAATAATATCTCTTTACATCCAGGCATCATTATTTCAAAATCTACATGGTACATATTTTGTCAATCAAATTTGTACACAGCATGATGAACAGACCTGCATACAGACACTATAGCAGTCTAGTTGTAACAATGAGTGAGTGTAAGGAATCAAACCCGGGCCTTCAGCGTGATGAGTGTACGCTTTAACCACTGGGCTACCCCAACTCCCTGCAACAATGCATCAGAGCAATAAATAGTCAACATCAACTGGCTTCGATATTTACGTCAAGCTACAAGCAATCAATACAAAACAAACAATGTAGTGTTATGGATGTTGCTCTGATTTCGGATAAAGTATTGAACAAAGAGTTCGTCTTTTACTATCATCGCAATGTTAAACTATACAGACTGAGATGCTGCAAGAGCTTTGGAGCAGCAATGGATAATTGGAACGAGTGAGTATGGTATTATGCCGTTTTTAGCAATATTCCAGCAATATCGAGGCAGGGAACACCAGAAATGGGCTTCACACATTGTACCTATGTGGGGAATTGAACCCGGTCTTTGACATGATGAGTGAATGCTGTAACAACTAGGCTACCCAATGGCCTGTGCATCATTTGAAGGAGTGATGGTTTAAATACCTGTTTAGGGCGGTGGGGTAGCCTAGTAGTTAAAGCATTTTCTCATCACACTGATGACCCAGGTTCGATTCATTTAATACCTGTTTAAGCTGTACGTTTGTAATATGACAGCATTTTGTGCGAGCAAAATTCACTGTGACCCACATCAGAGTGCAAAATATCCACTGGCCCGCTTACCTGTGGCTAGTAATAATCAAGGTGGGCCAGTAAATCTCCACAGTCACTGGCCCGATTGGCTTGTGAATTTTCATGGGGTCATTTTGTAAATATATCACTCTCTCCGACTTGTTAAGTTACAATACACTTGTAAGTCATGCAAGATTATGGCCTGATAAAAATGTTCATCATATTAGCAGCTTAATGATGAAACCCGTGTCTACATTCAAATTTCGGGCTAGTGAATTATTTTGTGGGCTAGTAACATTCCGGCATAGCTGGCCCGACTGGCAAGCAAATTTTGGAAACAATTTCACACACTGACCCACATAACTGTCATTTCCTTAGTTGAAACCCTTATTGACAACCACTTCGCCAATTTAGGTTCAAACACCTATTTAGAAGATTCTGAGTCACCCACACATCCATCAGTGTGAAATGGGGAATGCTTTCTGCTTGACCTGTATAGAAGCTCACTCTTTGTCATGTGTTTATTGTCATTCATTTAAATACATCTGTCCAGTCACTTAAATTACAGACTGATAGAAGTACTGTTGAGTGCACACATATCTTGACTCGAGCCCTGCATGACTGGTTCCTCATTACGACTAATGAGTGAGTGAGTGAGTTATTATTTAACGTCACATCGGCAATATTTCAGCCATATCGTGATTACGACTAATGGCACAGTACAATATCACAAAACTGATCCAAAGGTTTGACAGCATATACAAGCTGAATGAAATTTGGAGTCCACCATCCATGCATATGGATTCATTGTTCATAATTTAATGGGAAAATAATACACCGGAGAATCACGACTTTGAGAGTGTACAACCATGCACACCCATGTCTATTTAATACTGTACGACGTCTAATGTGTTTGGAACAATAAAGTACTGGATGTACTAAAAGACTCTCAAAAGTGTCAATATTATAATTACCGGTATCATGCATGATTCATGCTGTCATCTCTGGTATTATAGAAATAACATGAGATTCAGTTATATTCTGAATAAACAATTTCCATTGACGTCCACTGCACATACCTACATCCTTCACCTTGAGTAAACTCCATTCGAAGGCCATGTGACAAGCATGGTAAGACATTAGTTATAACTAGGTAGGAAGGTTGTAGTTTCAGACAAGGGATAACCCTATCTGGAGAGCTTCTAAGAATACATCAGGACTTATCACATATTCCACCATTTAGTAAAATAATGAGGTTATATTTGCTTGGTTACAGTCAACTGACAATAGCCACTTGAGAACAGTTTTACCCGATGTCATTGAGATACTGATAGTAATGTCTCTTGTTATCATGTGCTATCAGTATTCAAGCTTGTGGACATTGTAGGTTAGATAAGCAGGCTTTATATGAGTGAGTGGGTATGGTTTTACGCTGCTTTTAAAATATTCCAGCAATATCATGGTAGGGGACACCAGAAATGGGCTTCAAACATTGTACCAATGTGGGGAATCGAACCTGGGTCTTCAGTGTGACTAGCAAACGCTTTAACCACAAGGTTACCCTTTGGCCCCGACTTTTTTTCGAAACAATGCCAATGGTAAATCCATTGTAATGAAATCACTCAACAAACGGAACACATGTTTCATTTAGCATCCATAACAAGCAGTACACGCAAACCACCATATTCGACTGAATAAGTTTGGTGTTCGTATGTTGTTTAATGCCCCACTGGGCAATATTCCAGCCTATATGACTGCAGTCTGTAAATACGTCAGGACAATCTAGTGATTGGCAACATGACCATCAACGAAACTATGAATACCATTATTGGTATCAACAATGTAAGCAAGCAGGACCACCTCATCTTGTCAGTCGTCTCTCACAACAAGCATGAGTTACTAGAGATGAATTAAAGCCAGCATTTCGACATAATAGGAGTGTTGGAGAACAGATGGTTTGGATCAATGGTTTTCAGACATCATACGTTTGCAGACAGCAGTGATTACCCAAGCTATAACGAGGAGTATTGCATCACATAGACATTGCAAGTTCTTCAATGATGGCTTGGGTTTAGCCAAAAGATATCTCTTACAAGTTAATATGACCAAAAAAGATAATGAATGTCCCTTAAGTGTCTGAAAACCTCAAACCCAAAATTCAAATGTCCTAAAAAATAAATGCCCTTGAGAATAATTACAATGCATGACATACTCTTTTTACAGTGCAGTTTACAAATATGTGAAAACAAGGATTCATGTCATTAGTTTTTTTTAACTCGTTGTACATATATACTGGTTTTGAAGTTAGTCGGAGGGTGCTTATATAGCATACTACAGTAAATACAGTATATCTAGCCAATTCTCACAGGAAGTGAGTGAGTGAGGTCAGTTTTACGCCACACTAAGCAATATTCCAGCTAAATGGCGGCGGTCTGTAAATAATTGAGTCTGGTCCAGACAATCCAGTGATCAACAGCATGAGCACCGATCCGAGCAATTAGGATACGATGACATGTGTCAACCAAGTCAGTGAGCCTGACCACCCGATCCCGTTAGTCGCTGCTAACAACATGCATGTGTTAGTGAAGATCAATTCTAACCCGGATCTTCACTGGTACTCAAAGGAAGAGATGTGTTGGTATGTATCAGCACACAACAAGCAATGAAAGACACATGTAGAAACAAAACATGGTAGCATAACAAAAATATGTTTTCCGAGCCTCCATTTTCTTTTAAATATTATTAATATTATTTTTTACAAAATAAAGACTTACTAACGAAAATAAAAACGTAACTCTAAAAACATGGGTTAAAAATTGATATCTTATAATATGTATTATCAAGGTGAAATTTTTGAAAAAATAATCAACAAATTGAATATTTTTCTGAAATGAAATGTAAGGGATAAATCAACAGATTTGATTTCCTGATGAGCTACTTTGAAATCAACTCAATCTTGGGGTAGGAATATAAGAAATCTGAACAAATATTATTTTTCCGCATGTGTGAAGTTTGGTTTTGTCAGATAGATTCCCACTTGTAACAAAAGCAAATCAGCTCAAAAGCAGAAAAAATTACAAAAAAACCATGTTGTTCTTTTCACTTTATGCTTGAGACGCAAGAACACCATTACTGAACTTGTATCAAACATATTTCAGATACGAGTCTACAAAATGCAGATTCTGTCTTTGGAAATAAACTGTTAGTTCCATGGCTCTGAATAAAAATACTGTGAGCTAGTTACAAAAAGAAGGCAGTAAAATAATGACCTTCTCAATACTTATTTACACATAAGGACTACAGTATGTACATATTAAACAGACTTACTCAATCCCCTTGATCAAGATTGTCGTAAGAAATAAAATATATTTGATTATTAATCGACAGACATATGCCTAACAGAAAACAATAATAAAAACAGAAGGACATGCAAAGCATCTCTAAAACATGAATTCTTTTGAAATATGTAAAATCTTTTCGCATTAACTGCAGAGAATTGAACAGGGATCAGTAAGAAGGGTGAAGTGCAACAAAACTTGCTAGAATGAAACCAAAGTCAGTGACAACATGGAGTGTCTGCAGGTTGACACCAGGCCCATTTCATGTTTATTCAATCAATCAAGTTACGATCTTGCTTTGAGTGATGGCACTCTGAAGTCACTGAAAGTGTATAAGATGAGAAGTGTCTCATATGTAATTGAGTTAGTGAGTGATTATGGTTTTACGCTGCTTTTAGTAATATTCCAGCAATATCACAGCTGGGGACACCAGAAATGGGCTTCACACATTGTACCTATATGGGGAATAGAACCCGGACCCTCGGTGTGATGAGTGAACACTTTAACCCTCAGGTAACAGTAACAAAAACAAGTTACGTCATTCTTTTGTTTCTCCCACTTGAGGCGATGTCAAATAACTATCATCATCACTATCTAATAACTATCATCAGCAAATGTATACAGTGGAAGCTGTCAAAACTGGCAGCTGTCCAATCCGGGCAAGCTGTCAACACCGGCATAAAATCTCAGTCCCGTCCATGGCTAGTGCATTTATCATCATTTAAAAGTTCTGCAATCCAGCCGCTGTCAATTCCAGATCATGGCATGAAATGAGCCGCCTGAATATGTGTTTATACAGTAATCAGCGCTGTCTAATCCGGCACGTGTCGAGGAGTTAGCCGAGTGTGTATTGTCACTAATTAATCCTGCGTTACAACCACATGGTTGCAGACAAAGATAATTTAATCTTAGTTCAGTATGGGTACACTTGTACATGTAATTAGTGATCTGACATGTTCTATTGTCAGTGTGTGCAGTAGTTGAGAGAACCACGTGATACAACAATGTGTATGAGAGTGACAAAGCTGGTCCAGTTCTAGTTGTAGGTAACTGTGTCAGCTCTACAATCTGGCATGCTGTCTAAACCGGATTATTTCTTCAGTCCCGATGAGTGCCCGGTTTAGACAGCTTCCACTGTATATTCTTATAAATTAAGACTTATTTTTAGATTCTTCAAAAGAGAGGAAACCCTTAAATGGAATCCCATCAGGAGCAAATGTATGTACATGTGGATTTCAACATAGTTCTAAACAATTGGAGAATAGAAATAAACAAAATCAGATAAAACATCGAAACTAAAATGCACTAAAATATTGAGCAGACGTACGGAAACCACTAAAAATATAAACATTCCATGAAGAATAAATACAGTACTGCTCTATACGAGAAAGCATACTACAACTATAAATAGTAAAACCCTGATGTCACCTTGGCAACGGAGATACATAATCAGCATAATATATAAACGGCTTGACAATCAACACATCCTTAGCTTCAGAACCATGTAACCTAATAGTGATACACATGATATACTAAACCCGAGCTATAAATGATTTTTTCATATTACTACATTACTACTATATAACTAGTAGTATAGTTAATGTTAAATGAAAAAATCATGTGGTCTTTAGCTTTTTTGAGTAGAAAATATTCAATATTTGTAAAATATTCTTGAATTCGTTATCTTTTAAGGGCCACAGTGGGACTTTGGTTGAGTCTTGTAAAATTCTGTTCGTTGAGAATCTCATCTAATTAAATTCACATATCACTAAAATGTGCATAAAATGTAAAACAAATGACGCTATGAGTCAGGTTTGAGCTAAAAGACTTAAAAAACTTTGGCACAGACTGAGGAACTGGACGTTTTAAAAATGAATTAATTCCTGGATTTTGTCCAGCCCATCAATGTCAAATTAAGTAGGATCAGGTGAAAGCAGCATCCAATGTGGACGATGTCTACACAGTTGACAAAACGACATATTCTTGAGCTTCTGCCACATCTACAGTCAATGAGGTTCCAAGAAGCCTGGTCAAGTAACTAGTTTTATATGGTTCTCACGTCTTCATAATTTTGCATACATGATAAGGGTTTGACAAAAGGCTGGTCCATTCAACTACCGACAGAAAACATGAATCATGACCAGTAATATAAAATTGAAGATATTCAAATGGTTCCGTAATTTGGTAACCATTAACATACAAAAAATTAAAAAATGTTTTAATAAATGTTAAAACTTAATATTACTCTGTCTAACGTAGGACCAGTGATTGTTCTATGAGATCATCGACAGAGGTCATCTGACAGAATACATTTTAACTGCCAAACCCTGATTTGATGTAACTAAAGAATGTAGTACCTTTTCATGTAGAGTTAACTTCATCATAAATGTAACTACCATCATATGTGAAACTCCCTGTCACACTTAGTTTCACTGTTTGAAAGTAAGGGAAGTCCTTGTGTCCCTGAGTTTTCTTCCAATGGTATTTGAATGCAGAGACCCTTCAATCTTTAACCCTCAACTTTACACTTGTGACAAGCATTAGTATTGATCAAGCCTTTCATAGACTATTAAATGGAATATACAATAAATATTGTGTTACACCACATCAGCACTTTTATAGCTATTCCTTGCACAGCTGGTAATTTCCTGATGCTGGTGAAAGCAATATTTATCATATCACAGGGAATACTATCAAAGTACATTGTCAATTAGCATAATGTAGCAGGCCAACCATTCACACACAAGAAATAGCATATCCGTAACAGTAAAGCTTCAGCTGAACATTTTACCAACCAAATGGTTTTACCAATGGAGACAAGAGACAAAGAGACACAGGTCTTTGAATGGCACTTAGAAACAGAGACACTGCATTTTCAAAAGAGTCTTGATCACTCATATTTAAGCTGAAGCATCAAACTAGCAATAGAAAGCTTGTGTGACACAACATTTTGTCTTACAATTGATGATTCACTACAAGACTACAACACAAGGTGTCGACATGAGCCAGATATTGCAGTCATCAACACCTAGTGTTTTAAACTATATTGTCCATATACAAGAGCTGCATATATGTAGAAGTATATTGTGTAAGCCTTCAAGAGTCTGTGTACAAGGAGAGGAGCTGTGTGGAGTTACTTCAATGTGTAGAGTCCCACTACATGACGGGCTGTTTCCTGGCATCTTGTCTGGAGGGGAGCATCATCGATTTGGTTGATAGGGATTTCAATCTGAAACAAGAAGACAAAGTCATCCAGAAAGGAGCACTACCACCAATCCAGTTGAAGCCAAAATTGTTGCTATGGAAACGCAAAAGCTGCAAAAAATACCATTTTATTCAGAAATCCAAAACTAGCAAAAGGCACCAGTTCACCACAAGACCTACCTATGTATGAAATTTGGTGATGAAACAGTGAACAGTTTTTAAGCTCTGCTCCAGAAAAGAGTACTACCACCAATTTCAGTCTAAGTCAAACTTGTTGCCATGGAAATGCCAAAAACACTTTATTCAGAAATCCAAAACTACCAAAAGGCACCAGTACCCCACCAGACCTATCTATGTACCATGTTTGGTAAAGAAATAGTGAATGGTTTTAAAATTCTGCTCCGGAAAAAAGCACTAACACCAATTTCAGTATAAGTCATACTTGTTGCCATGGGAACGCAAAAACTATCTTATTCACAAATCCAAAACTACCAAAAGGCACCAGTTCACCACCAGATCTATCTATGTGCCAAGTTTGGTGAAGAAACATTGAACGGTTTTAGAGTTATGCTTCAGAAAATTCAAATGTGCACGGACAGACAGAGTCCATTTTAATACCCCCCACAAAACGAGTTGTGGGGGATAACAACAGTGACATATTGGTTGATGTATGCATACATTCTCAGTAAGATTTCATGAGGATACAGACTGAGAGTGAGTAAGTGTTTACTGTGCTTCCTGGTAAGGTTTGGTTTGGTGTTTTACATGGCGGCAATCTTTAAATAAGCAGAGTCTGGACCAGACAATCCAGTGATCAACAGTATGATCATCGATCTGCGCAACTGGGACACAATAACAAGTGTCAACAAAGTCAGCGAGCCTGACCACCCCGTCCTGTTAGTCGCTTCTTATGACAAGCATGGGTTACTGAAGACCAATTCTAACCTGGATCTTCATGGGAGTACAAGGAATGGACTGGTAACCCTAACCAACCTAATTAAAGATATTTTGAAGGGACACCAGTGCACAGTGAGTGAATGATAGAAATCTACCACTGAATATCATGACAGTGTTGTCAACGTATACAATGTTTGTACAGTTTTTGACACACGTCATCGTATCCCAATTGTGTAGATTGATGCTCATGATGCCGATCACTGGATTGTCTGGTCCAGACTTGGTTATTTAAAGACCTCCCCCATATAGCTGGAACATTGCTGAGTGCAGCATTAAACCAACCAACCAAACCAACCAACCAACCTACCATTGTATGTTGGTCTTATAGCAATACCCAATACACACAATGTGAACCATGTGTGTTAATTGTATACCTGAAATTGCTGCTCCCAACATTTGGACATGGCCTTGGTGAAGCGGATCATCTCTGAGCCAGAGTTGAAGTACAGCACCCACTGCTCGCTGCTCACCCCTGCCTCCTGGGACTCAAACTCCTGTAGGATCAATAAACTCAGAATCACACAGATATCTACAATCAACTCCTGTATCACACATATCTTCAATAATCTCCTGTATAATGAATAAACTCCTGCGTCACACAAATATCTTCAATAAACCTCTGCACATCACAGATATCCTCCTTAAACATCTGTATCCCACGCACGCCTTGCTTATTTTAGTTACATGTTATGAAATGTGTTAGAGTGACTGCTACATTCAGATAGTAAACAATTGTATTGTACATTGTGGCGGTGTGTGGTCCTGTGCGTAGAGCTCAGGTCACAATCAGTTGAAGTTAAGCAACGTTGGTCGCGGACAGTCCTCGGATGGGTGATCGTGTGGCAGCTTGACTCCTGAAAGTTTCTAGGACTTCAGTCCTGCCCCACAAACAAGCACATGTGACGACGCATGTGGTCTCACCTTAGGCAAGTGAGTTTGTTCAAACTTGCCTCTGTCCACCCAGCAGTAAATTGGGTACCTGGTATGATACGATGGTAGTCTGAATTTGAACCTTGAGCGCCTGACAGGCGACCAGTTGTATTCTCACAGGGAGTGTTCTGTACTTGTTGACCAGGGGTAATATGTCAGCGCTTTGAGCATGCAATGTGCATGGATAAATGCGCGATATAAATGGACTATTATTATTATTACATTAACACCAATGAACAGTACCAGTATACAGTAGTTCTTGACTTCAGCATCGATGGTGATCCCTGTTACCTCCTCCATGTTGGCGCTGCCAAGCGTTCGGAAGAAACTCGTCTGAACGTCCTCATGACACATCAGAATCTTCTGATGGGTCAAAACAGAACAGCAGGAGAGGTAACTCCAACCATCCCCAGTGCTCTGAAACAAAAAGTACATGAAGATCATGATTTTCTGATAAATAGCTTGGGTGTTTCATTGATCTTTATGCACCATTCAGAAACATAAAACAGAAGTTCACAATACAATGATTACTCATCTAATTCACCTCAATGAGTAACCCTTTATGAGTGATTACTTTCAGTCTGCCTTGTTGCATCCGTGAAGATCCGGGTTAGAATGGATCTTCAGTAACCCATGCTTCTCGTAAGATGAGACTAATGGGATCGGTTGGTCAGGCTCGCCGACTTGGTTGACACATGTCATCGTCTCCCAATTATGTAGATGATGCTCATGATGTTGATCACTGGATTGTCTGGTCCAGACACGATTATTTACAGACCACCGCCATATAGCTGGAATATTGCTGAGTGCGGCGTTAAACAACAAACCAAAAGCCTTGCTGTTAAGATAAAGGTAGGTGGACTATTCACAAACATATCAAATCTGATTGAAAAATGTAATTTTTGGAGTAAAATTGATATTTTATACTTATCCTGACTCATGCTCTTTTTGCTTGTCTTCTTCTTCTTGCGAACATAGTGGAACACTTGTATCTCCCTAATTGAAGCTCCCTTCAATTTAAAATCACTAATTAGTATTCACCACGAGTTACCTCCTTTCCACAAGCGCGTGAACGAGGGCGCCACCTCTACCCATGTGCCTCACTCTCTCCTCATATACTGAGCCCAACATTTGAATTTACAGGGAAATCCAAAGTGTTATTTGGGGAGGATGGGAGGGCTGACCTCATGAGTCAGGATAAGTATAAAATATCAATTTTACTCCAAAATTACATATTTTTCCTTATCCTGACTCATGCTCTTTTTGCTTGTAGCATCCTACGGAACGGAGGTGGGAATATCTAATACTTTGGATTTTTAATAATTAGTGATTTGAACTGTGATGATTGTAATAACCCTATGGGAACTTCATAAAGGCACTGAACTGATGAATTCCTGCTGCTAACTTATCAGCTGCCATATAAAAGGTTATTACCATGTACTTATTATGATAAAGTATATATAACATTAATACAATGCTTAAGACTAATAGACTTAAGCTTGTTAATATGCTAGTATAAACTCCTTAGAGTTTGTTAGCTAAAATACTTTAAGATATAACATAGTACTAAGCTTAAGATATGATTAAACTGAAGCTAATTATATAATAGCAAACTCTTTAGAGTTTGTTAGTTAATATACTTATATGATATAGATATAATGCTGAGCTTAAGATATGAATAAGCTTTAGCTACATATATAATAGCAAAACTCTGTAGAGTTTGTTAGCTAATATATTTTTATAATATGAGTATAGTACTGTGCTTAAGCTATAATTAACTTAAGCTACATATATAATAGCCAAACTCTGTAGAGTTTGTTAGCTAATATATTTTTATAATATGAGTATAGTACTGTGCTTAAGCTATAATTAACTTAAGCTACATATATAATAGCCAAACTCTGTAGAGTTTGTTAGCTAATATATATTTATAATATTAGTATAGTACTGAGCTTAAGATATAATTAACTTAAGCTACATATATATAGCAAAACTCTGTAGGGTTTTGTTAGCTAATATATTTTTACAATATGAGTATAGTAGTGTGCTTAAGATATAATTAACTTAAGCTACATATATAATAGCAAAACTCCGTAGAGTTTGTTAGCTAATATATTTTACAATATGAGTATAGTAGTGTGCTTAAGATATAATGAACTTAAGCTACATATATAATAGCAAAACTCCGTAGAGTTTGTTAGCTAATATATTTTACAATATGAGTATAGTATTGTGCTTAAGATATTATTAACTTAAGCTACATATATAATAGCCAAAAAACTCTGTAGAGTTTATTAGCTAATATGTTTATAGTGTAACCATAGTACTAAGCTTATGATGAAAACTTAAGCTAATTGTATAATAGCGAAAACAACCCTTTAGAGTTTGTTAGCTATGATATAAACCTAGTATTGAGCTTATGAAGGAAAACTTAAGCTACATATATAATAGCAAGAACTCCGTAGAGTTTGTTAGCTAATACATGTTATAATGTAACCATAAAGCTTAAAATATGATGAAACTTAAGCGAAATATATAATAGCAAAACCCTCTTTTAGAGTTTTGATAGCTAATATATCTATATGATATAAACATAGTACTGCGCTTAAGATATGAATAAGCTTAAGTTACATATATAATAGCTAAAACTCTGTAGAGTTTGTTAGCTAATACATGTTATAATATAACCATATTGCTTAGAAATATGATGATACTTAAGCCAAATAGCAAAAACTCTTTAGAGTTTGTTAGCTAATCTACTTATATGATATAAACATAGTACTAAGCTTAAGATATGAATAAGCTTAAGCTACCTATATAATAGCAAAACTCCTTAGAGTTTGTTAGCCAATATATTTTAATAATATGAGTATAGTACTATGCTTAAGGTATAATTAGCTTAAGTTACCTATATAATAGTAAAACTCCGTCAGAGTTTGTTAGCTTAATTAACTTAAGCTATGTATAAAATAGCCAAAAACTCTGTAGAGTTTGTTAGCTAATGCATTTATCATGTAACCATAGTATTACTCTTAAGATATGAATAACTTAAGGTAAATATATATAATAACAAACTCTGTAGAGTTGTTAACTTATATATTGTATGATGTAATAATCATAGTACTGTGATGATAAAAGGAACTTAAGTAAATTATATATAGCATGAAGCTATTTAGTATTGTTATAAGATAAGTAAAATCTGTTAGATTGACTTATCTTCTCCGAGGAACTGTCAGCTGTTGTGCGAGGACCATGGGATCGAATTGGTGTATACCTGAGACGCCCTCGGTGGTGATATCTCTCAGATAATGGTTTGCAACCACCATATCGGATTTCCAGAAATAAACCCTCCATTATTTCAATCACATTTGTGTAGAACAATTGTAGAAGTTAGCTATAATATCATGAGTATTAAGCTCATGGAGGGTCGGAATAGGTCCATCCGCATATGCACGTAGTATGACAGTTCTGATCCAAATGGAGATATAGTACATGAGACTTCACTCTCATGTAAGTTGATGATAGAGGAAATAATCTGTTGCATTTTTCCTCCTGTTTGGTTTGGTGGAGATAAATTTACAGTGCTCTTGCTGGCCATCTTGATAGAATCATCGTATCATGGGGTCCAAGTATGTCATCCAGGCGTGTTCATAAACCTCACTTGTGAGGTGTTGGAGCACTATATTCATATCCCCAGGTTGGGCGTGAAATTTCCGTTTTATTCTCCAAACAGAAGTTTAGTAGGTTTACTAACCATCTAGTTGTGTTAGTCGCTGATGAAATTCAGCTGTAGTCTGAAACGCTGTGGATTTAGATCCACTTGTATCTTTCGTCTAGGTAATTCGCTGCGAAGTCCTTGACGATGTAGGTGCACAACCAGGTGTGTCTGTCCTCGTTGAACTTTATGTAAAATCGCCTGACTGCCGATCCCTCGTCTTAACTTGACAGGGGAGGTCTCTAACTTGAAGAAAGGCAGTCTAATCATGAATGTTCAGGTTAACTGGACTGTAATGAGGCTTGCTCGTTCACTGATATATAGTTGTCACTTGTGACGTAAGTCTTGAACTGTGAATAGAGATCGACCTCTGTGTAGGTCGTTGTCCCTCGCGTCCAATCAGAACAAGGCATTTTGATTCTGTATAATACCCAGCTGTGATGTCACCGTGTAGCGGAAAAACCCACCTTGAATAAATTCTTGTTGTCGTTGATATTAGCATAAACGCCGGTCTTCACCGTAGCTTCGAAGTTATCCGAAAGTGACCACGTGTTTCGAGGGTTAATGGTAACCGCTAGCGAAACCTCCGGCGCAAATATCTCGCTCTGTAATTTTATGCTGGGTAGGTTATTTTCCTGGTTGTCGGAAAGTAATTTCAGTTTTGAATATAATTCCGACTTCCTTATATATAAGGGTATAAACAACTTGCAAGTTGTGAGCTTGTAGACTGTATACATGAATGTATCGCCATAATTGTAGAATTAACGTTGAACTTGTTGTACATATTTCTTCTCAGAAACTTTGACGATTAAGAGTTATACTCGCTGTAACAAGGCTGCTGTTCAATTTCGATATTGAATTGTCTGCAGATATGCGTAATGGTCACGCGATGTAGATAATCGTGATCGTCGTCGGGATTGTATATTAGCAATTTATACGGAATAGTTGATTTCTGTGAAGATCTATGAAATGTCGTTGACTAATAATACAGCGACGTTCTGTGTTGTAAATAGCCTGAGCAATTATCTTCGCAGAGAGGCTTATAGACGGCATCTGGCATACAGTTGATAATCAACTTATGCGACGCCTTGAACGGACTGACGAAGTAGCTATATATGACGAGTGGCTAGTATATGGAAACCTTGGAGGAGACTTCCTCGGTGAACGCCGGAGACTTCGCGAAGTTCTCAAGTATCCCTTCTAGATCTTCTGGGTGAAGTAGACTTGAGTTACTTAGCCTTCGCGACCATCGCGAAGGTGTCGAAGTCAAAGCCCGATTAGTATATATATATATATATAAATATATATATGAGCTTGCTTCGCGGAACAGCCTCTGTGTTTAACAGGATGTGGGATCGGCTGGCGCTTGCCTAAGTAGGGCCGCATGGATCATCTTATCATATTCAGAAGTCGTGTTACTTAAGTCTGGTGATAAGTGTCTAATTGATCGCTCTAGATCTATTTAGGCCAGCGAACATACGCCTCGCCATGGATTCAACAGAACCAATATACGATTGTAGTTCTTATACTTGATATCGATGATCAACTTGTCTATGGGTTGATCTTCTCGGAGACTTGTGAGGGGAACGTTGATAGTTTCGCGAAGCTCTTGTATAGTCCCTCGATGTCCTTCTAGATGATGATGATCTGGATTCAGGTGTCCTTCGCGCATGCCTTCGTGAAGCTTCCTCTGCGTCCGGTCCGGGGGAACGACGATATGACCTTCGCGAAGGCTTCCGTGATGTCTGATGGTCCGAGTCCACATCTAGGGATGAAACCGCATAAGGTGATGATCTATCCTGCCTTCGCGAAGTCCTTCTTCTGATTTTCCCTCAGAGGTCGACGCTGCCCTGGGTGTGCGACGTCTGCGTTGAGTGTTGGTAATGATGGGACCCTCAGGACGATCATCGCATATCTGCGTTGGTACATCAGGCTGCATGCTGATCTGTGCCGACATCGGTCAATCTTTGATGTACATCCGGTATGATGACCGGCTGATCATCATACAGGCCCAAAACTTCGATGGGAACGGTCTCGGTTGTTGAGATGTAGTAGAAAAACCCTCTAGTCTTCTGCTGCGACGATGGGATGTCTGGGGAAGCAGGATGCTTCTTGGAGATGGCGGACTACGTCCCACACCTCTCCACCACTCTAGCGGAACACCACACGGGGGGAGTCGGCCAACAGCAGTAGACTGGCGAGGGTTCCGTGTATCAGTCATACTAGACTCTGCATACGCGACCTATCTGCTGTGCGTGCCAAACAAAGTAAATATTAATAAAAAGGTAGAATTGGATAAATTAGTACCGCGAACTGCAATGTGAATATAATAAACATGGCTACCGCATACATCATATTAAAGGCGGATCAGCAGCAGCATAAAAACGTAATCTGCAATAGTACAGAATTTTCATCAACGTAATCCACTGAAACAAACACGGCGTCCCGTGACTAAACTGTAGAAAAACGACTAAATATCAATATATAATCGTTGAAGGAAACTAGCTAAACCTCTATAGATGTCTATACGAGGTAACTAACTAAATATAATTCAAAGGATATAGTGTGTCGGGAGACACAGGCGCTCTCACGTCCAGCTCACTGGGCGAAGAAGGAGAGAGTGAGGCACATGGGTAGAGGTGGCGCCCTCGTTCCCGCGCTTGTGGAAAGGAGGTAACTCGTGGTGAATACTAATTAGTGATTTTAAATTGAAGGGAGCTTCAATTAGGGAGATACAAGTGTTCCACTATGTTCGCAAGAAGAAGAAGACAAGCAAAAAGAGCATGAGTCAGGATAAGGAAAAATATCAGATCTTTAAGTCTGATACAATTCCTGCCTGCATGAAGATATGAGGTTATGTCATTGTAACTTTTTACTCAGCCAAACAGCATTCAGGTTGACAGATTCTCTTTACGAGTGAGGAAAACATTCTAACTAGTATATCTCCTGTATTTCAAAATGAAAACCAACAGCTGACTGCCTGTATTTGGACTGTGAGATTAAAGTTCACACATGGTTCATCTTGTGAGGTGTCCTCAGATCTTAATGCAGAAAGGTCTAAAAAAGTTGTTCACGGCTACGCTGTCAAGGCAGCGGGGTAGCCTAGTGGTTAAAGCGTTCGCCCATAACACTGAAGACCCAGGTTCAATTCTCCACATGGGTGCAATGTGTGAAGCCCATTTCTGGTGTTCCCCACCGGAATATTGCTGGAATATTGCTAAAAGTGGTGTAAAACTAAACTCACTCACTCATGCACTGCTACTCATGAGCTTCCCTCACACATACCTGACTTCCCTCCGACACGGCCTTGCATAGACACTGCAGCCAGTCAGCGACCTCAATGTGATTGGCTGCAGAAAACTGCCAGAGTCCTCCATCGGATTTGATGACCTCAATACAGTGTTCCCGATCGCTGTCCGTGCTTCGTCTACAACCAACACACTGCTCCCCACCAAGCCTCAAGAAGCACTGTGGCTTACTGTTCTTGTCATCAAACACACACAACATCCCATCTCTGAAACAAGCAGTACGTTCTCAAAGTTTCATTGGTTAATATTTTATTTTTTAAGGTTTATTCACTGTACTCATTTGTAAAATCGGGACAGTGTGGTGGCCTAGTGGTTAAAGCGTTCGCTCGTCACGCCAAAGACCCGGGTTCGATTCCCCACATGGGTATAATGTGTGAAGCCCATTTCTGGTGTCCCCCGCCGTGATATTGCTGGAATATTGCTAAAAGTGGCGTAAAACCAAACCCACTCACTCACTCATTTGTAAAATCAAACCAAGGATGAAAATAAACATTTGGTGTAGAAGTGTTTCAATCAATTTAATCAATCAAACAATTATCCTTTATTACTCATTTTAGCTATACTCCTGCTATAGTCAAGTCAAGCTAAAATTTCTAACTGATTCAAAGAAAAAAACACCCTTGGGGTTTTATTTTAAAATTTATTATATTTTCAAACGACTGAAGCTTTTCTGGAACTGTAACAAATAACATTTCAAGGAAGCTAAAAAGTGCTTGCATCATGCTTTGTCCTTTATTCTTCTTGTGAAAGAAACAATTTAGAGTTTAGCATTACTTTTTCAGTGTTTTTTTACCTTCTAGCAAATAGTATGGAACAGAAGTTGTCTCTATCATCTATGGGTATCATCAATACAAAGAAAGACAAACCTGAGAACAACAAAAGCTGGCTTCCACAGATGTCCCTTCCCATGTTCTGTTGACTTGAACAGCAATGTTCCTTCCCTATTTGCATGCTCCATCTTGGCTGACTGTGAGTGGGGGTCCTCCCAGTACACCAGGGAGTAGCCCTCCACACATACATCTCCTGGCTGTAACAATAACACAGAGGCTAGACAACCACCCTGACACAGTGGGTGGGGGTCCTCCCAGTACACCAGGGAGTAGCCCTCCATACATACATCTCCTGGCTGTAACAATAACACAGAGGCTAGACAACCACCCTGACACAGTGGGTGGGGGTCCTCCCAGTACACCAGGGAGTAGCCCTCCACACATACATCTCCTGGCTGTAACAATAACACAGAGGCTGGACAACCACCCTGACACAGTGGGTAGGGGTCCTCCCAGTACACCAGGGAGTAGCCCTCCACACATACATCTCCTGGCTGTAACAATAACACAGAGGCTAGACAACCACCCTGACACAGTGGGTAGGGGTCCTCCCAGTACATCAGGGAGTACCCTCCACACATACATCTCCTGGCTGTAACAATAACACAGAGGCTAGACAACCACCCTGACACAGTGGGTAGGGGTCTTCCCAGTACACCAGGGAGTAGCCCTCCACACATACATCTCCTGGCTGTAACAATAACACAGAGGCTAGACAACCACCCTGACACAGTGGGTAGGGGTCTTCCCAGTACACCAGGGCTTAGCCCTCCATATATACATCTCCTGGCTGTAACAATAACACAGAGGCTAGACAACCACCCTGACACAGTGGGTGGGGGTCCTCCCAGTACACCAGGGAGTAGCCCTCCATATATACATCTCCTGGCTGTAACAATAACACAGAGGCTAGACAACCACCCTGACACAGTGAGTGGGGTCCTCCCAGGGTGGGTATGGGTGGGTGGATGTGGACGTGGATGTGGGTGTGGATGTCATGTGGGTTGCGTGTGGATGTGGATATGGATGTGGTGTCATGTGGGTTGGGTATGGATGTGGTATCATGTGGGTTGGGTGTGGATGTGGATGTCATGTGGGTTGGGTGTGGATGTGGATGTCATGTCGGTTGGGTGTGGATGTGGGTGTCATGTGGGTTGGGTGTGGATGTGGGTGTCATGTTGGTTGGGTGTGGATGTGGGTGTCATGTGGGTTGGATGTGGATATGGATGTCATGTGGGTTGGATGTGGATATGGATGTCATGTGGGTTGGATGTGGATATGGATGTGGGAGTCATGTGGGTTGGGTGTGCATGTGGATATGGATGTGGTTTGGGTGTGGGTGTGGATGTGGATGTAATCTGGGTTGGGTGTGGATGTGGGCCTGGCTGTGGGTGTCATGTAGGAGTGGATGTGGATGTGATGTGGGTTGGGTGTGGATGTGGATTGAGTGTAGATGTGGGTTGGGTTTGGGTGTCATGTGGGTTGGGTGTGGATGTGGATATGGATGTGGGTGTCATGTGGGTTGGGTGTGTGTGTGGATATGGATGTGGATGTCATGTGGGTTGGGTGTGGATAAAGGTTTCATGTTGGTTGGGTGTGGATGTAGGTGTCATGTTGGTTGGGTGTGGATGTGTGTTGGTGTCATGTGGGTTGGATGTGGATATGGGTGTCATGTGGGTTGGGTGTGCATGTGGATATGGATGTGGGTGTCATGTGGGCATGGATGTGAGCGTGCATGTGGGTTGGGTGTGGATGTGGATGTAGTGTGGGTGGGGTGTGGATGTGGATGTGGATGTGGGTGTCATGTTGGTTAGGTGTGGATGTGTGTTGGGTGTGGGTGTCATGTGGGTTGGGTGTGGATGTGGGTGTCATGTTGGTTGGGTGTGGATGTGGGTGTCATGTGGGTTGGATGTGGATATGGATGTAATGTGGGTTGGGTGTGGATGTGGATGTCATGTGGGTTGGGTGTGGATGTGGGCCTGGCTGTGGGTGTCATGTAGGAGTGGATGTGGATGTGATGTGGGTTGGGTGTGGATGTGGATGTCATTTGGGTTGGGTGTGGATGTGGGTTGGGTTTGGGTGTCATTTGGGTTGGGTGTGGATGTGGATGTGGGTGTCATGTTGGTTGGGTGGGGATGTGTGTTGGGTGTGGGTGTCATGTGAGTTGGGTGTGGATGTTGATATGGGTGTCATGTGGGTTGGGTGTGCATGTGGATATGGATGTGGGTGTCATGTGGGAGTGGATGTGGGCGTGCATGTGGGTTGGGTGTTGATGTGGATGTGTGTGTGAATGTGGGCCTGGCTGTGGGTGTGGGTGTCATGTAGGAGTGGATGTGGATGTGATGTGGCTTGGGTGTGGATGTGCATTGGGTTTGGGTGTCATGTGGATATGGATGTGGGTGTCATGTGGGTTGGGTGTGGATGTGGATGTCATGTGGATTGGGTGTGGGTGTGGATTGGGTGTTGGTGTCATGTGGGTTGGGTGTGGATGTGGATATGGATGTCATGTGGGTTGGATGTGAATGTGGGTGTGGATGTCATGTGGGTTTGATGTGGTGTGGGTATGAATGTGGGTTGGGTGTGGATGTCATGTGGGTTGGGTGTGGATGTGGGTGTCATGTGGGTTGGGTGTGGATGTCATGTGGGTTGGGTGTGGATGTGGGTGTCATGTGGGTTGGGTATGGATGTGGGTTGGGTGTGGATGTGGGTGTCATGTCATGGGTTGGGTTGGATGTGGAATGTATGGAGTGTCATGTTGGTTGGGGTGTGGATGTTGATATAGGTGTCATGTGGGTTGGGGTGTGCATGTGGATATGGATATGGAGTGTCATGTGGGAGTGGATGTGGCGTGCATGTGGGTTGGGTGTTGATGTGGATGTGTGTGTGAATGTGAGCCTGGCTGTGGGTGTGGGTGTCATGTAGGAGTGGATGTGGATGTGATGTGGCTTTGGGTGTGGATGTGCATTGGGTTTGGGTGTCATGTGGATATGGATGTGGGTGTCATATGGGTTGGGTGTGGATGTGGATGTCATGTGGATTAGGTGTGGGTGTGGATTGGGTGTTGGTGTCATGTGGGTTGGGGTGTGGATGTGGATATGGATGTCATGTGGGTTGGATGTAAATGTGGGTGTGGATGTCATGTGGGTTTGATGTGGTGTGGGTATGAATGTGGGTTGGGTGTGGATGTCATGTGGGTTGGGTGTGGATGTGGGTGTCATGTGGGTTGGGTGTGGATGTCATGTGGGTTGGGTGTGGATGTGGGTGTCATGTGGGTTGGGTGTGGATGTGGATGTCATTTGGGTTGGGTGTGGATGTCATGTGGGTTGGGTGTGGATGTGGGTTGGGTGTGGATGTGGGTGTCATGTTGGTTGGGTGTGGATGTTGGTGTCAAGTGGATGTTGGTTGGGTGTGGACATGGCTTGGGTGTGGGTGTGGATGTCACGTGGGCTGGGTGTGGAGGTGGGTTGGGTGTGGGTGTGGATGTCATGTGGGTTGGGTGTGGATGTGGATGTCATGTGGGTTGGGCGTGGATGTGGATGTCATGTGGGTTGGGCGTGGATGTGGATGTCATGTGGGTTGGGTGTGGGTGTGGGTGTGGGTGTGGGCTGACTGACTGACTGAGTTTAGTTTTACGCCGCTTTTAGCAATATTCCAGCAATATCACGGCTGGGGACACCAGAAATGGGCTTAACACATTGTGCCCATGTGGGGAATCGAACCCGGGCCTTCGGCGTGAGGAGCCAACGCTTTAACCACTAGGCTACCCCACCGCTCCGTGTGGGTGTGGGTATGGGTATGGGTATGGGTATGGGTATGGGTATGGGTATGGGTATGGGTATGGGTATGGGTGTGGGTGTGAGTATGGATGTCCCTTTATAATATGCCAAATTGCATTCAATTAATTAGTAAACCTAGTCAATAGATAAGTGTTCACTCATTTTTATTCTCAGCTCCCACAGGCGTATACAACCAAAGCTGCCTGTGAGGCACTAGAAGTTAACCCGTCACCCACTCAACTGCTGCCTGTGAGGCACTAGAAGTTAACCCGTCACCCACTCAACTGCTGCCTGTGAGGCACTAGAAGTTAACCTGTCACCCACTCAACTGCTGCCTGTGAGGCACTAGAATTTAACCTGTCACCCACTCAACTGTCCACAATGAACTTTGCTTAACTCTGACTAAACTGGTTACCTGCGTGCTGCACAAAGGCCCAAATCACCCATTGTCTTTATGTGTACCATCAACTTCTATATTTCAGTAAGAAGCAAACAGTGGGATATGTAACGAATTAGTTTACTTATAGTGTCCTCCTTTACACCATACAAGACCACAGCAGCCTTCATACCTCAATCCGGGCCTCAATGGCGGCATATTTCTTCATGCATATCTTCTGTGTAGTTGCGTCGTTCAACACAGTCAGTTTGGGAAGGGAGAACTCACAGTTCTCCATGGCTGATGAAATACAGCTGGTGATGGCACTGAAACAAGCAGGAATGGTATACTGAAGTTAACAGTACAACTGTTTCTGAATTATATTTATAAACCAAAGCTACAGATAACTTTTTGGGTCATTGGGTTATGTACTCGCTTGTGTTCATCTCAATTGGGTATTCCTAAGTTCCTTTGAGTAACCAAATAAATTGTACCCACCTCACTCAAACTCAGTTGTGTATTTTGAAATTTTCCATTAATTGTAAAAATATAATAAACTTTAAATGTTGGTTTACATGTTTGTTATTTATATTTGATCAGTAATATAACAAACAGTGAGAAAGACTGCAAGTTGCCAAGTTCATGTGCTGAAATAGAACCTCTGAATATACATCAGTTATTTTATCTATCCTCCGTAACCCCTAAGCTAAGATTAGATTTTTAATGTGTACACATGTAGGATCAAATTTATTGAGTATTTGCAAATATTCAAGCGTACATGTACGCAACAGACTTAATAGATATTGAGTTTTCCCATAAATATTTGCATAATTTACGCAGATACGCAGCTTATCTGTACCTCTGATAAACAATCATTGCTGTTGTGTCAAGTTTATGTAAATACTCTAAACAGTATTCTAATATATTGATAAACTTTTCAACTTCCTTCAAAGCCCAATGCAGCATGATACATATGTAAACCAGAGTCATGGGGGAATTTCAGTAAAGTGGTTCTGACAAAAAATAAATGATTTTTTTTTTGATAGTTCTTTCTGGTTATCATTAGTCGGTTGGTTTGTTGTTTAATGCCGGACTCAGCAATATTCCAGCTTTATGGTGGCCGTCTGTAAATAATCAAGTCTGGACCAGACAATCCAGTGATCAACAGCATGAGCATCGATCTACGCAATGCTGTAATTGGGATATGATGATCTACGCAATGCTGTTATAGGAATCTCCACGTACCATGTGAGAGTTTCATTTCCTGTTGTCAGCCAGAACTGCTTCCGTCGATTTGTGCACACAATGTTGATAATCTGATTGTTGACACTGAGCTGTAGGATGGAAATAAACACTGAACAAGAGTAGTCTACAAAGTGTTACAAATTCCCAAACAGAGCTACAGATAACTTTTTGGGTCATTGAGTTATGTACTCGCTTGTGTTCATCTCAATTGGGTATCCAAATTTTTCTTTGAGTAACCCAAAAAATTGTACCCACCTCACCTAAACTCAATTGGGTATTTTGCCATTTTCCATTAATTGTAAAAATGTAATAAAGTTTAAATGTTGGTTTACATGTTTGTTGTTTATATTTGATCAGTAATATGAGAAACGATAACCAAGACTGCAAGTTGCCAAGTTCATGTGCTGAAATAGAACTTCTCAATATACCTTAACATTTTTGTGTGTACGATGTACGATCAAATATATAGAGTATTTACAAAAATTCAAGCGTACCTGTACGCAATAGACTTAATATGAATTAAGCTTTCACATAAATATTTGAGTAATTTATGCAGGTATCCAGCTTATCTGTTCCTCTGCCCATCTTACAGTTTCCTGTAAAATATTACAGCGATTTTCTTTTTGATAGTCCCTCGTATATGATAGTGGTCTTTAATTAAGCCTGAACCAAGAACAATTCCGTAACAGACATCAAGCCACCTTATCCATTTAGTCACGTCTTTCAATAAGCACAGGTTGCTGGGAAACCTTTTTTAACCAAGAATCCTTTCTTTGACTGAGATTCTTCTTCAATTACCTCCCCTTCATTTTTGACTTTTTTTTTTACATATGTTTACCTATTTGAAGTATTTCATGTTTCCGTGAAGATTGCATAAAATAGATACTGCAATAGATGCCATCTTGAACGATGTCAAATGAAATTGAGCAATCATAAGCCTAACAGTATTCAACCTATTTTCAAGGAATTATTAATAGAATGAGAGAAATCGCGTACAGCTAGAAAGTCAATGTCCTTGAAGGGAATGTCCTTGTCCTTGATAAACTTTTGGTCACATTCTCGCTGGTGAAGTAGATACATGGCTCGATCAGAAACCAGCAGAAATATCCTCTTCAGCTCTCCTTCACTGTGACCTTGACTTGTGCAGAACATCTGGCCAGAAACAAAATGAAAGGATTGAGTTTCTCTGTAAACTGAAATCATTGCTGTGGACTAGGTACAGAAGACATGAACAAGTCTTTCCTATTCCTGTTGATGAGATATAAAAGTACAGATTGATTTTGTTTTCAGTTAATATAGCTATTCCTCATCTCAAACACAGTTAACATTGGTCCATGTCCTATGGCTGTACACCAGTTGACTGTAATCATAAATGGCCTCAATTTTGTTTTATGAATCTGGTAATGATTCAGAAAAGTTCCTGTAAAAAGGTATGAAGTATGTGTTTTATTGGAGAAAAAACAATGTTTTAATAAGCTTACATTCAGCCATACAAATGCTTATACCAACCTGTATAGCTACTTACCATAAGTGGAAACGAAGTGTAAACACAAACCCCACAAGTACAATTACCTCCCCTTACTGTCACCAATCTTTCCTATACAGGTATAAGCAATTGTACGGCTGAATGTAAGCTAAACCAATAAATATGTCACTGCTTCTAGCAAAATCACTGATAAACAATACATTTTCACTTCTGTTGCCAATATTGTTGTCTATTTGCTAAACAGAGCGATGATTCAGCAAGAGGTTGACTGGAGTTGAGTCAAGTCAGTGAGTCTGTTGTATGTACCTTCCCAAACTGTTCATCTTGATCTGAGAAGACGTCCAACATGAGACACAGCAGGGTGTTGTTATCAAGTCTGCAAAAACACACACGAAACGTTGGCAACGAGAGAAATACAGAGAAATATATTTGCTAGTCATCTGAAAAGACAAGGTTTCAATTGAATCTCCACATAGGTAGAATGTGTGAAGCTGTTCTGGTGTGTGCTCGCTGTGATATGTCCCAAACACTGCTTGAGCTTTAACCACTGGCCTAACCAGCTGCCTGTACCCAAGACCAAGTACATACATTTTCTAATGAACAACAACAAACTCCCCTTCCTAAATGTCCTGGTCCAGAGAGAAGGAAACAGGCTCAACACCAGCGTCTACCCCAAACCAACCCACACTGACCAGTATATCCATTCCTCCTCATGTTATCCTATTCAGGTCAAGAGAGGTCATCGTGACCCTAACCCGACGAGCCAAGAATATCTATTCAACACCCCAATCCCTTAGTGCCGAGCGTGACCATCTCAGATATGTTTTCACTAAATACAATAAATACCCTGCCCCCTTCGTCCACCAGACCATCAACAACACCCTTGACCCAACGACCAAGCTAGCCCCGACAACAATCAGCCCCCTTCAGTCTCCTATTCATAGGATCATCTAGTCATCACATCCGACGACTCTTGAAGCAGCAAGCTGACATAGACGTCACCTTCCAAAGAACCTCTTGCAGGCCATCTAGGTCATCCCAAAAGCAGCCCCTCAGGTGTGGTTTACCACATAGAATGTGACTGCGGTGACTCCAATGTTGGAAACATCAAGACCACTCACCCTCAGGTTCAAGGAACACCAGGCTTCAGTTAGGAAGAATGATTCTAAATCAGCCATTGCCGACCACATCAAAGCCCACCCAAACCACACTATCAACTGGGACAACACCAAGACCATAGAAAAGAAACAGTCAGACTACAAAATTCATAAACTTTTGGAAGCAGTGCGCATCAAGAAGATATGCCCCACCCTCAACAGAGATGAAGGTTATTACATTCCTAATGCCTACCATCACTTGATAAAGTATCATCAATAACTTGTGTACATTATCTGTTTCAATACAACTTTACGTAACACTGGGGTTCAAAATTATTTTAAAAAGCCATTTGCCACAGGGCAAGTGACTTTAAGAAAGTAACTTGTCCTGACCAATTTTCCACTTGCCCTGATTTTATGACATAATCATGATGATGTAATTATGAAAGAATCAATCAACATGGTATTTGATGTTAATGTTTACTGGACTATTTATTGAAAAGTGATAAATAGCAAAGAAAGATAACTCTACTTTATCATCATTGCGAAATTTAAAAGCTACATTTTGAGCAGATATGAAATTAAATCCAAGTTTATTTGCAGTTTGAAACCATAAGTGGAAATTATCTAGTAGCCCACGGACAAGTAAGATACCATTATTTGATTGCCCGAAATGAAAACTGACTTGTCCCGGGCATCGGGCTATGGGATTTTTGAACCCCCTGTAACATGTCATATAAGCTATGTACATCAACCCCATCCATTGTATAAACATCCACCTGGCTTCTTATCAGTTGTATAAGCTCTAATTCAGTCCTTGTATGTCACCCTACTGGCTTCCTATCAACTGACCCCATCTGGTATACAACTGTTGTACATCAACCTCATTTATTGTATAAACAACTCATTCCCAATCTATTGTAACATAACCAGTCAGGTATATATTCTCTCTATTTCTTTCTCATGTATCACCTGCTTGACAACGACATTAGAATCTATGTCGAAACGTCGCCTCTACAGAATAAAAGAAGTTGTAAATCCATAAAGATTTTCATCATTCTTCTCATGAACAGTTTCATGGTTAAGCATCGTTTGTTTCCCTGAATGTTGACCTGTGTTTCTGATGGCAACAGGACCCCTTGCTTATCAATTTGGGCTGATTCAGAGCCTTATTGACATCAGATATTAGTTCTTAGTACCACAATACAACAATCTAAGTACATGCCATTATGAATAAAGTCCATCCATCTATTATACATTCCAAAATTTTCTTTAGTTTTCAAATTTTGATTGAGAACTTTGTCAAAATATTTTTCAAAGCAGCTGCTTTCTGATTGGTTCATGCTGACTTCTTGTTAATCATTGGTCACCAAAAGTTTGGGAGTTCGTTCTGATGTGACCAGTTATTGTCCTCAGACCTTAGTTCAGCAGTAGCAAGTAATTAGGTCTGATTTTCATGAGATCAAATCAGACGGCACATACAACATAAATTATTGAAATCAAACTAGAATTAAACTCCACAATGTGATTCACCTTTTCAGTTCTGACATATCTGAACTTGGCTACTTGATGTAAGTAGATGACTGACATTAGAAAAAAACATTTAAATCACAACCACATGACCACAAACAAATTCTTTCCTAAATCAATGTTCTGGCTGTTCAATGTCAAAAGGAAAGGAAGGATTGATAAAAGGCTTCATTCAGAGGACAATATTAGGACAGAGGACACCTTATACAACTTAATGCTCATCAAAGAATCTCAGGAGTGGTGGTATAGCCTGATGGTTAAAGCGTCCACTCGTCACACTGAAGACCCAGGTTCGATTGCCCACATGGGTACAATATGTGAAGCCCATTTCTGGTGTCCCCCGCCGTGATATTGCTTGAATATTGCTAAAAGCGGCATCAACCATACTCACTCACTGACACAAAGAACTGAGTACAAAACTTCATCTTACTCAACACTGTAGTCCTTTTCTTCACACTCCAGGTCATCCAGTTCTACTGTCGAGGATTCCAGCTCACTCTCTGTCACCTCATCCCCTTTTACTTCATCTGAATCCCCAACAATGAAGTCCACATAGTCCTGCCTCTTTGCAGAATAGTCGGTATCTGAATTACTGACCTCTTCCACCCGCCTCACTTTGTAAAAATCCTCATCTTCGTGAAAACCTACAAAATATTTTTCACTGGTACTTGGGCTCGCTCGCTCTTTATTTTGGACAGACACTGATGAAAATACAATTGCATTGTCCAAGAGCCCTGTTGGTTCCACTTCAGTACTGCCGGGACAATTTTCTGCCAACTGATGATGCTTTTTACTGTCTCGTAAAAGAGCTGCTTCTTCAAAGCTACTGTCTGACTCAATCTTCCGCTTACTATGCGCAAAGTCACACTTTTCTGACATAGAATTTTCAGTGTTATCACAGAGTTGAACAGATGAATGATTTTCTTGATTCGGAATGATTTCTGATTCTGACCCATGATTTGAGCCAGAAGGGGAGACAACTCTGTTATCTACATGATCACTTTGATTAGAATTATCTCCCTTTGATTGTTCTGTTTTGCTAGTCTCCTTGACGACACGAACATCCTCATGTCCGTCTCCTGGAGACCTCCTTCTTTGATGCGAAGTTTCTGTATTCATGTTTACTCTTGAAGGATCAGTTTCTGAAGTTAACTCCTCATTATGACCGTTAAACACATCTTTGAAAGAACTAAGTATGGAAGCTTCAACAAACTCAATATTTGGTGACTGAGATATCTCGGTGGGAAACCTATCAACTTCTTCCTTCATGGGAGGAATTTCAACAACCTTTGAAGCACGTTTCGGTTTCTTGCCCTTGACCTTTTGACCTTTTGATTTGACCCTTATGACCTTCAGCTCTGTTTCAATCTGATCAATGTCCTCTTCAACACTAATTATCGTCTCAATTCTACGAAATCGTGGCTCAACCTCTGACCCTGACCCATGACTAGATGTCGACACATTGTCAGTAGTGGATGGGCAGACGTGTTTCGACATAATGCTGTTGGTGTCCACATGGCATCCGGAGTCTAAAGAGACCGACCCTGCTACTGAACTTTCCATAACTCCGTTTGTTTCAAAGCTGGTGATGCTGCCAGAATCACTGTCTGTCAAGACCTTGTTAGATTCAGGAGTGGAAGCTAGCATCTGAAATACAAATTGTTGTTGATCTGAAATATTTCATTGTTTTATGTTCTCAACAGATTTATAATAATTTATTCAAGAAAACTACCTGAAACTACTGATCGTTTTACTAAAAGAGAAGCTGCCCCCAAAGAAAGTCATTTCTAAAATGTTCACCATTACCAAACCTTCTCAGAGAAACACCCTCCAGAATCAAGAGACATTCATCTCAAACAGGGCGCCTCTCAGAGAGGCACCCATCTCTATAGAGGCTCTTCTTAGGGAGACACCCACGTCAACCAACTCTCCTCTCAGAGACACACCCACGTCAACCAATGTTCCTCTCAGTGACACACCCATCTCAACCAAGGTTCCTCTCAGAGACAAACCCACGTCAACCAACTCTCCTCTCAGAGACACACCCACGTCAACCAATGTTCCTCTCAGAGACACACCCATCTCAACCAAGGTTCCTCTCAAAAAGACACCCGTCAACCAACTCTCCTCAACCAACTCTCCTCTCAGAGACACACGCCAACCAAGGTTCCATGTCAACCAACTCTCCTCTCAGAGACACACCCACGTCAAACAACTCTCCTCTCAGAGACACACCCACGTCAACCAATGTTCTTCTCAGAGACACACCCATCTCAACCAAGGTTCCTCTCAGAGACACACCCACGTCAACCAACTCTCCTCTCAGAGACACATCCACGTTAACCACTGTTCCTCTCAGAGACACACCCATCTCAACCAAGGTTCCTCTCAAAGAGACCCCAATGTCAACCAATGTTCCTCTCAGAGAGACCCCAATGTCAACCAATGTTCCTCTCAGAGAGACACCCATGTCAACCAATGTTCCTCTCAGAGAGACACCCATGTCAACCAAGGTTCCTCTCAGAGAGACACCCATGTCAACCAAGGTTCCTCTCAGAGAGACCCCAATGTCAACCAATGTTCCTCTCAGAGAGACATCCATGTCAACAAAGACATCCATGTCAACAAAGGTTCCTCTCAGAGAGACACCCATGTCTACCAAGGTTCCTCTCAGAGAGACCCCAATGTCAACCAATGTTCCTCTCAGAGAGACATCCATGTCAACAAAGGTTCCTCTCAGAGAGACACCCATGTCTACCAAAGTTCCTCTCAGAGAGACACTCATGTCAACCAAGGTTCGTCTCAGAGAGACCCCAATGTCAACCAATGTTCCTCTCAGAGAGACATCCATGTCAACAAAGGTTCCTCTCAGAGAGACACCCATGTCAACCAAGGTTCCTCTCAGAGAGACCCCAATGTCAACCAATGTTCCTCTCAGAGAGACATCCATGTCAACAAAGGTTCCTCTCAGAGAGACACCCATGTCTACCAAGGTTCCTCTCAGAGAGACACTCATGTCAACCAAGGTTCGTCTCAGAGAGACCCCAATGTCAACCAATGTTCCTCTCAGAGAGACATCCATGTCAACAAAGGTTCCTCTCAGAGAGACACCCATGTCAACCAAGGTTCGTCTCAGAGAGACCCCAATGTCAACCAATGTTCCTCTCAGAGAGACATCCATGTCAACAAAGGTTCCTCTCAGAGAGACACCCATGTCTACCAAGGTTCCTCTCAGAGAGACACTCATCATAACAAAGGTTCCTCTCAGAGAGACACCCATGTCAACCAAGGCTGGTCTCAGAGAGACACCCATGTCAACCAAGGTTCTTCTCAGAAAGACACTCATCTTAACAAGGTTCATATCAGAGATACACCCATCTCAACCATGGCTCCTCTCAGAGAGACACCCATGTCAACCAAGGGTCAATACACTTTAACCGAGGCTGTTCTCTCAGAATCAACCACAATAACCACTAAGATACTTCTCAGAATCAGTTCACTGACAGATGTTTACTTCAAGCAAGACATGTCCACAAAGTCTCTCAATGAAACACTCACCTCAACCCCTGAGACGCTCCTCCGAGAGGCAATACTCTCCATGCTGTGAATTGAAACTTTATCCTCTTCTTGAGACTTCTCCCTAGACAGGGAGCGACTACGTGGTGGGTACGTGCTCAGGTCCAGGTACGGCACATCCTGTGGACAAATATCCAGATGACTGTTAACTAGCACTAAGGTGAGGTGAAACATCGTTCAATGTCATGTTCTAGATTATTGGTACGAGTGTTAGTGAGTATAGTTTTAAGCCAGTTTTAGCAATATTCCAGCAATATCAAGGAGCAGGACACCAGAAATGGGCTTCACACATTGTACCCTTGTGGGTTATTATCATAAGCAAAACATGTCCCTGAATGCATGTGTCTGCTTATCCTTATCCATACTAAGGGGCAGTGGGGGTAGCCTAGTGGTTAAAGCATTCGCTTGTCATGCTGAAGACCTGGGTTCAATTCTCCAGACGGGTAAATGTGTGAGGCCCATTTCTAGTGTCCCCTGCCGTGATATTGCTGGAATATTGCTAAAAGAGGCGTAAAACTAAACTCACTCACTGACTCATCCATACTAATATTGGATTTAAAGTGCTGGCCCTCTCAGATGCCATGACACAGTTTAATATGGATGCCCCACTCATATACAATATCATACTTGTGGCCAAGTCACGAAATGCTGTGAGCCAGGCAGGGTGACAACAAGTACCATCTTTTAGTGAGTGAGTGAGTTTAGTTTTACGCCGCCACTCTGCAATATTCCAACTATATGGCAGCAGTCTGTAAATAATCGAATCTGGACCAGATAATCAAGTGATCAACAGCACGAGCATCGATATGCGCAATTGAGAACCGATGACGTGTCAGCCAAATCAGCGAGCCTGACCACCCAATCCGATTAGTCGCCTCTTACGACAGGCACTGGGTACTGAAGATCAATATTCTAACCTTCACTGATATTGACTAGTGTTGGGAATTGGTTAAAATCTCATAATTGATGATTGGTTCATTACAACCGATCAATCATCGAAAATAATTGGTTAGCGTCATTTATGAAATTTGTTAATGCACATTAAAATAAGTGAAAAAAAATATATATGTAGTTCTGGGTTTTTGGGGGCAAAATTTCACATCTTTAAAGGATGACTAGTATGTTAGGAACATAAATTTCTTGGAATCTTTAAGATGAATTAAATCATGACTTGAAACGAGCTTGTAGTGCTATGAAATGTAACAGAAAACAACCATTTGAAAAATATTGTTAATGAAAACAAGTGTTCCAAAATTGTTTGTGTTCGATTATGAGAAATTATGATCGATTGCTTGGTCGTTTAGTCACTACGACCAATCTTCGATTATTTCAATTAATCGGACCACCACTAGTATTGACACAGTTGGATGCCCCACTCATATACAACATCATACTTGTTGCCAGGTGACTAACTGCCAGGCAGGGTAACAACAAGTACCATCTTTTAGTGTCTTTTACAGGTGAAGCTGGGGAGTAGTTGGATAAAACTGCATTTAGATGAAGATTAAATCACGTCAATTTCTAAGAAAGACGGGAAGTGAAAAAACTAACTTTATCACTCAGTACATATTTGATACATATATGATATGTGACTCAACTCATACACCCCGTGAAGATCCGGGTTACAAATGATCTTCAGCAACCCAAGCTTGTCGTAAGAGGCGACTAATGGGATTGGGTGGTCAGACTCGCTGACTTGGTTGACACATGTCATCCTATCCCAGTTGCATAGAACGATGCTCATGATGTTGATTACTGGATTGTCTGGTCCAGACTCGATTATTTACAGACTGCCGCCAATAAGCTGGAATATTGCTTTGTGCGACGTAAAACTAAACTCACTCACTCATTAAAATCATACATTTTTCTTCTGATCTCTGTTGGGACATTCTGTGCAAGTTTACATATCTCACCATTACTGGGGCGGTGGGGTAGCCTAATGGTTAAAGCGTTGGCTCGTCACGCCGAAGACCCGGGTTCGGAATTCCCACATGGGCACAATGTGTGAAGCCCATTTCTGGTGTCCCCCGCCGTGATGTTGCTGGAATATTGCTAAAAGCGGCGTAAAACCAAACTCAGTCAGTCAGTCAGTCACCATTACTTATATCCCATGCTCAGTACTTACACATTCCAGTTGAAAACAGACCATCTCAAGTCCAGAAGTCAGGGTCAACAACAGATTCATTCTCTGAAACAACAGGAAAATTAACGTTATAAAAATACGACACTTTAACCACTCAGCTACCCGACCGCCCCTTATAATCAATGAGTGGATACTGTAAATCATGAAATTAATGTGAGCATTTTATTAATGCGAAAAATGCGTCTGTACTCTTCTCTCATTATTATAATGACGCATTTCAGTCTGACCATGTCTACTTTTGAAAACTTATTAAAAGACAGAAAATGTAAATCTGTTGACACTACACATTACACCAATACAGGTCACTTCCTCATTACAGGGATCTCAAACCACATGTAATCACTGGTTACAATCACTGGTCTTTGTTTAAAGTCACTCAAGCACATCAGCCAGACCAGACATTCTTCAGCCAATTGTTTGTTGTACCTTGGTAGATGACTTATGTCTTTCAAGTCGGATTACGTTTATACATGTTGTCATAAGACAAATAGTAGCAAGCAATCATGTGATCAAACATGGCAGCGTTATCAAAACATCGTCAGCTCATTTCCATTTATTGCTTTACAAGCTCAATTCAGGTTATTTGGTAATTAACAAGTGTGAAAAGAAAAAGAACAACACCAAAGATTCAGGATGTCACATTTTATCATCAACACAGATTCCTGAGCTCGCATTAATTTTGTGACGCATTTTAGACTAGACCCTTGCACTCACATTAAATTTGTGACGCCATTAATTTCATGATTTACAGTATATGAAACAGTTTTCTTGGTGATGGCCACTGTATATTTTATGTTGAAATGTTTATATCAAATTAAAACAAGTGATCACTTTGAGTTTGTTCACTGGATACCCTTGAGAGTTCATCCATTCAGGTGTGGCTGCTTTGACACCCAAGAACAATAGGATTTCATAACATCCACAACAATGTGATAGCATGGCTTTATTTATTTTGATTCAGAACTCCCCAGTCATATTCATTATCAAGATGTCCTGAATGCTTTGCTAGTGTGTACAGAGTCTTTAGAAGCGTGGACTCTGGATGATATGAAACTTCATCTGGTGCTTCAGAGTAAAATGTGGGCTCGTCACACTGAAGACCTGGGTTCGATTCCCCACATGAGTACAATGTGTGAAGCCCATTTCTGGTGTCCCCCGCCGTGATATTGCTGGAATATTGCTTAAAGAGGCGTTAAGCCATACTCACTCACTCACTCATTGATTATAAACATAGTTCACTGTAACTGTGTTCTGTGGTGGTTTTCTTGATCACAATAAAAATTTCTCAGCCCTGATATAGAAATATTGGTGTATTATTTCAATTTTTTTATCTCACTGGGTCCAGAACCCATGTATCCTTAATTAAGACAAGGTGGTTAAAGTTGACTGAGGGTTCATTTCTAGAACCTGTTGACATATTTGTCGTTCCACATTGGATATTGATGAATAATAACTGCACTTGATATTAGGGCAGTGTTGTGATCACAATGAATTAACTGTGAATTGATTTTTAAACTTACTTGATCGTCAAGAACAAGTGCTTCCTTCACATAGAATTTCTTGACAAACTTGGAGTTGTCTGCAATGCATTTGAGGTAACTCTCCAGGAGGTTTTCGTTCAGGGCCATGAAGATCCATGCCCTTCCTGTTATAAAGACAGTGAGGATGCCATGACCTGGATCATTATCATACAACAGTCAACCATGAAGATCCACCTTCCTTGTGACATAAATAATTACAACATAATGATCTGCATCACTGTCATACTACACATAGCTGTGAAGATCCACCTTCCCTGTGACATAGACAATTACAACATAATGATCTGTATCACTGTCATACTACACATAGCTGTGAAGATCCACCTTCCCTGTGACATAGACAATTACAACATAATGATCTGCATCACTGTCATACTACACATAGCTGTGAAGATCCACCTTCCCTGTGACATAAATAATTACAACATAATGATCTGCATCACTGTCATACAACAGTCAACCATGAAGATCCACCTTCCTTGTGACATAGACAATTAGAACATAATGATCTGCATCACTGTCATACTACACATAGCTGTGAAGATCCACCTTCCCTGTGACATAGACAATTACAACATAATGATCTGCATCACTGTCATACTACACGTAGCTGTGAAGATCCACCTTCCCTGTGACATAGACAATTACAACATGATGATCTGCTTCATGAGAAGTCATAAGTCCTATCATTTATTTGTAGTGCTTGGATACAAGTCACTTTCCATACATCTGTGTCAATCTAATGTTATACTCTTGAATACTTTTAGAGGCATTCTTAAATCGTGAATATTACCACTGCTTGCTTTCTTCTTGAAGAATAATGACAATTATTATGGATATACAATTTCTTTTATGCTGTGGTGATTGCCACGTCTCCATGTAGACGACATATGACTTCTTTGGTAGACATTTTAGAAGTTGAGTTGATGAAGAATAATGACAATTACTATGGATATACAACTTCTTTTATTCTGTGGTGATTGCCACGTCTCCATGTCTCAGAATAAAAGAAGTTGTATATCTATAATAATTGTCATTATTCTTCATCAACTCAACTTCTAAAATGCCCATCAAAGACGTTGTTTTCTTGTTGTTTAACACTGCACTCAGCAATGTTCCTGCTATTATATTCCTGATATCCTAAAAATATCCATGCAACTGGGATACGATGACATGCATCTGCCTTGTCAGCTGTTCTGAACACTAAATCCCATGAGTCGACACACAAGAACATGATTGCCAGAAAACTGTTTATATCATCCCAAACTGTGTTGCACACGAGATATTGCTTGTGTGAGATCAAACGATATCTCCTAGGAGCTATCGTTTTGACAATAGCTTTTGTACCATGCTCTGACAACGCTATGATGTCATGAACTTGATGACATCATAAACTTGATGACGTCACAATGCTATGACATCACTGCAGTGCATGTCTAATGGCAGTACTGTGTTCAGAGATGTACATTTTTAACTGAAAACTAATGAAGAGTGATTTTTGATGATAAATAGAATCTCACCCTCGTGTCTACTGATATCAAATATATCAACGCTCATTGATAAAAGTAAAAATGTCCACGGCAAGCCTCAGATAATTGTAACTTTGTCAACTCGTGGTGATATATTTGACATAAAAAGACACTCAGCTTGATAGTGACGATTATTGATTTTGAGAGGGAACTATTTCCTTGATGTGTGTACACAATACAACAAATGGAGAGAACATTATCATCACTGAGGACAGATTTACTGAACTGATAGCAAAATTATCATTGTCTAAATACATAGCAGGACACTGTTCATTGTTGAGTTTGAGTTTGAATTTGTACCCTGTTTAACTTAAAGGTCACATGCAACCAAAAAATCAAACATAATTAAAACACAATTATCACTTATTCATGACATATAATATACATTGCTGGTTATGAAAAAACATATAAACAAAATTATAAGCGTACAATCGCAAATCAAAAGTGCAATATTGTGTACTTGGGTTTACTTCCCAAGAAACGAAGCAGCCGGGATACCGAACCCAGTCAGAGCGGGTGGGTGTGCACTCAAGTGTAACGGCTGGTTCATTTGCAGATGCCCACACGGCTCATTGTGTGTGTATATATAGAGATGTTGGGTTTTGTAAATACATGCTCATTTTTTGTGTATAACATTTTGCAATCAACAGACATCAAAACATGTCATGGGTTCAAGTATCACACCTGCCTGTCTGTGTAATTACATAATGTGACAGAGACCGAACTCGGGCCATAAATCAATGCCTTTTGTTTATGGTGTATAGCCTGATTGGTGTTAAGTTCAAATTGCATGTGGTCAGTGATCACAGTTGTGTATTGAATATGGTCATTAGCAGACAGGCAGGCAGACACACAGGTGTGAATAAAACAAGACATTGAGTTTTGTGTGTGACAACGACATATCTATATCACAGTTAGAAATTCTGTCAACGCTAAATAATGACATTGCGTTTAAGTATCGAACTGAGAAAGTGACTCGGTAAGAAGAACGTGTGGTGAAATAGACAAATGAAATTATATAAACACTTTATTTACTGTCGCGCCTGTGAGATATCAACAAAACATTAGGAAAACAGCTCACACCAAAGCCTTCACCGAGTATTCACCGGACAGCCCGCTTCCAAGTTGCGCGAACCTATTTCACTGCGCACGTGCTATGAGCGCAGCCCAGCTGTTGAAACCAGTTTTACCCCGAAAAGTCGGGAGAAAATTAGTGAATCGTTTGAACTCCGATTTCGCGCGGGTTTTTTCATCGCGTTATTTTTCAACTTTATAAGTTCAATTTGCATTTTTGATGATTTGTTTCGGTAAGTCCATACCGAAAGGTATCAGAATCTGCAAAGTTGTGTTTTATGTTGCATGTGACCTTTAAGTGATATGACAGCTATATCATAGATTGTCAACTTCATGATCAAGAGAGAGAACAATTGAGTACGGTTCAACACATTTTTAACATTATGGTAGTCCCACATTCCCGAAACTACATTATTTTCTCTTCTGCCAAGCCCTTTCTGTAATGTGAAAGTGCAAAACAGCTTGTGTAGATTTTCTTCAGGTTCATTTCCCATCTCACTGGGGCACCTGTTCAAATGTGATATTATTTGTTTCTATCAAAGTCATCCATATCCAGAGACTAAGTGTCAGTCTAATAATTTGGCTGTGACCCCTTGACAGGGCTCCAGATAAACTTTCAACATCAGGAGTACGTACTCCTTATTTTTTCAATGCAGGAGTACTGGAAAAACTAAAGTACATTTAGAGCACTGAATAGAATTACAGGACTATCAGTAATCTTGTGTTTCATTTCATATATGCACCACAACATTGCTTGTCTTGTGTAAACAGGTCAATAAACAATAAAACAATACTTTTTCAGATAAGTATGTCTGTAAATGATTCTAAGACCGTATACCATTGCTGTGGTGCGTATCTGCTACGTTTTCTAATGTATTTCCTATCGTATCTCCTATCGTATCGTCATTGTATGAAATATGCCAAAAACCTAGCTAGCCATTTGGGCTGGTAACTTCAAAAACTTACCAGCTCAGAAGAGATTTAACCAGTCCTTCTTATATACTAAATAGACAGTGCCATTGGACACGTTATCTGAATTTTTTTTTTCACCCGTCCATCGGGCTGGCTAGCTGTAAAATTAGACCGCCTGACAGAAATCTAGCCAGTCTCGGGTGGTCAGACGGGCCTTATTTCATACACTGGTATCGTGCATATTTTTTATCCGTACATACGCCCCTTATCTGGAGCCCTGCCTTGACATTCAATCATTAGCATAGGAATGGTGCACACCAACCAAGTTGAATATTGGATTCAAACCTAAGGAGTTCTGGCAAATTGCCGCATCTCCCGAGCAGAGAGTCATCTGTGTCCATTAATCAACATCAAATAAGCACTCATCAAGTAAGTGAGGTTGTGCATTTGAATCGAACATTCATATTTGAATTTACTTTTGTTTCACTGAAAATAGAAATTAAATTCAAATATTTAACAACCAAATTTTAATTTGAAGAAAGTGCACCAGTGTAGGGTAAAACCTGTAAGGAATTAAATTTAGAATTTCAACAATTTATGATTCCACATTTTGGAGCTTCAGTCACCATGAATGTCATGTAAGTATGGGAATGAATGGGAAAAAGTGTAACAGGTACCCAGATGGGATCAGGTAATGCTACCTTGGTACCTGTCTCCGAAATGTCTACCTGTCCCAGCCCAAACAGTGAACCAACAGGTACCCAGATGGGATCAGGTAATGCTACCTCGGTACCTGTCTCCGAAATGTCTACCTGTCCCAGGCCATTATAACAGTAAACCAACAGGATTAAGATGGCAAAGTCTATCACGATTCACATGCACATTGATAAAGAGAGCCAGTGAAATACTCAAACATTTACCTCTTCCTAGATCGGTTGTGACATTCTGGATTCTCTCGATGTCCTTTATGGCATTTTTTCTGGTAAACTCGTTCACCATCCTCCAGTAACCATGGGTGACATGGCGCAACCTAGAAACATGACACTGGTGAGTCAGAAACAGCCTAATCATTCATAAACTGTACTGAAATAGCAAAACTGCACTTCATAATTACATATATTTTTATACATGCAAACTCAAGACACACCCAAATCTGTTTACCAGAACAACAATAGACATTTCCCATCTCACATATACTCATACATGTTTCATTATTCATGATTCATGGGATACAAAACAACTTCGACTTATGGGATAAACAAAAAATTAATTTACAGTCGAACCCTGTTTATCCGGACATTTTCGTTACACTCGGAAATCGTCTGGATAGCGAGGTGTCCAGTTAACTGGATCAAACAAGCAAAACGTACTGATGAATCAAATGACGATGCATATTGATGAGACGTTATATACAGTACAACCAGAAATTATTGATAATTTAAGATTGTAATTTTTATATTTTTTTCACTCATTACTCACGTATTAAATGTGAATATTAGCAGAACATAACTCCAGATTCAAAGACAGGTGAACAGTTAGTATTTTGTCAAGTCACCATGGGCAGCAATGCAGGCTTCAATGCGGCGGGGCATACTACTGATCAAAGAAGTTAGAAAGTCGTGGTCCATGCTGTCCCAATATCGGACCACCTCTTCTTTCATTTCAGCAATATTTGTCAGATTTTTCTTATTGACACTTTCCTTCATAAGTCCCCAAACATTTTCTATTGGATTTAGGTCAGAGCTATAGCTTGGCCAATCTAATAATGTCATATTTTGGGTCAGAAACCAGGCTGTGAATGCTTTGAAAGATGGTTTGGGTCGTTGTCCTGCTGGAAAATCTAAAAATTTCCATAGAACATGTGAGCAGATGGAAGTAAATGTCCCTCGAGAATATCTGTGTACCGCTCACTGTTCATATTCCCTTCAAATACACAGAGGGGCGTTGCCCCTAACACAGGTAAGCCACCTCACATGTTAAATTTCGGACTGTACTTTTGGTGCTGATACAAAGGTTTTTCAGTTTGTTTGGTCCAGAACTTCAGTGTATTAGGAAACAGCCACACAGAACTTTCATCTGAGAAAATCACATTGTCCCAGTTAAAATTTCTATGCTGTAAGCACCAGTTCAACCTTCACTCCTTTTGTTCAGGTTTCATGATCGGTGATGGAATTCCTCGACTTTTCTGCCAACCCATTTCATGCAGTCTCTTTACAGACAGCCACAGTTCCTCTATCAATCATATCCAGCCTTAAGTTTTCTAAACTCCTTCGTTTGTTTTTAGAAACAAGAATACCAAGCCGCCTCCTGTCAACGACAGTCAATTTTCTGGGCCTACATGCACCTCCCTGGTGCTCAATGCCATATCCATTTGCAATATTTTTCAAAACACGATAAACAGTGGACAAAGGGATGCCTGTTCTACTTGAAATCAATTTAGCTGATCTGAAGTCCTTGTTATAATACTCTAAAATCAACTTCCTCTTCTCTAAATCATCCATACTGAGGATCACTAAAAATGTTGTCTGCTAGCAAGTAAACAAAGGGGGATAACTCTTCACAAACTAATGAAAAAGGATTAACGGAGTTGTCTCTCTTGAATGAAACCAAGCGATAGCTGGTCAAGGTTGTTTATACTAGAAATCCAAAGAAAAATATTCCTAAAATTCTCAATAATTTCTGGTCATACTATATAGTACAATTACAATGTAGTTAATCTTAATCCTAACAAGAAGACAAAGTCATCAATATCCCCCGCAAAGGCAAAATACTCTTCATGATTATGTCTACGAGTTATGATTATGTCAAATATTTAGGTGTGTATATAGAAAAGTGGAAGGAGAGTATTGAACGTTTTTTAAAGTTATGATCCAGAAAGGAGCACTATCACCAATTTCAGTCTAAGTCAAACTTGTTGCCATGGAAATGCCAAAAATATTTTATTCAGAAATCCAAAACTACCAAAAGGCACAAGTACACCACCAGATCTATCTATGTGCCAAGTTTGGTGAAGAAATAGTGAACAGTTTTAGAGTTCTGCTCCGGAAAAGAGCACTAACACAATTTCAGGCGAAGTCTAACTTGTTGCCATGGAAACGCCAAAAATATTTTATTCAGAATTCCAAAACTACCAAAAGGCACCAGTACACCACCAGATCTATCTATGTGCCAAGTTTGGTGAAGAAATATTGAACGGTTTTAGAGTTCTGCTCCGGAAAAGAGCACTACCACAATTTCAGGCTAAGTCAAACTTGTTGCCATGGAAATGCCAAAAATATTTTATTCAGAATTCCAAAACTACCAAAAGGCACCAGTACACCACCAGATCCATGTATGTGCCAAGTTTGGTGAAGAAATATTGAACGGTTTTAGAGTTCTGCTCCGGAAAAGACAAATGTGCACAGACGGACGGAGACACGGACGGACGCACGCACGGACGGAGTCCATTTTAATACCCCCTGCAAAATGCATTGAGGGGGATAATTAGCATGTGTTTTCGTTACTGATGAGATGTTCTCACACCTGCCAAATCCTAATTAACAACTCAAGTGGCACACGTCCCTAGTGTTTTGATGGGAAATAATCAATTCACATCAAACGCCTGCCGAGAGAGTTTACAAAGAATACACTTAGTCAGGCGATAACATACACATGCATATGTACATGTGTACAGAGCTTTCCGTCCGAATAACAGGATCCTTTTTCAATGGAAATCTATGGGAATGGTTTGAAAATTCCCCATCCGGGTCCGGAAGTGCCGGGTCCGGCTAAGCGAGTACAATTACTGAAGGTAAGTTTCGCGTCACCTTAATATCGTCCGGAAGGCGGGGTTTCCGGATATACAGGGTCCGACTGTATTCATATTCTGTCTGGTATTTTGTTATGGACAGTCCTAATGCAGAGATGCCAACCCCAAAGTGTTGCAAATAATAGTTTCAAGGATCAAAATTAGTAGTTTGACCATAAAACTAGTAGTCAACTAAATACTTCAAATCATGAAGGATTCTGAGAAAGATAGTATGAAACTAATCAAGAGTGAAGCTTTAATTTCACATTCCTCCAAAAGCAGATTTCCAAATTATCAGCGGTACATTTCTTCTTGTTGTCTCTTTTTGGCGAAAATGTATTTAATCGACAAAAATATATGTTTTTGTCTACATATTCGAATTTTAATGAACGTTCTTAAAATTTGTAGAATTTCTAGTGCAATCGCATTGGCATAAAATGATAGTTTGAGGCTAAAATTCGTATTGACTACGATAAAATTGTAGAGGTTGGCATCTCTGCTAATGTAACTGTAAAATAGAAAAGAAACATTAAGAAAGGCAGATTTTGCTTAGCTGATTAGGGTTTTACGTGAAGTGCAAATGTACGTCCAGTACACAAAAATGTAAAGAATGGATGTGGAAAAACAGTTCACAACTGCACAATATTATTCATTGTACCCACAACACATCTATGACTTTGCTGAGTGTTTGCTTGTTTCAGAGCAGTTACTTGCATCATTTTACCCATCAGTTCACATGATTCAAAACATACAGTTCTCAACACTGTTACTTCACGGGACCCTTACATTGCCTGCATGGACCCCTAAAACTAATAATTGGGGGTCCCCAGGAGCCCCATGTTTGTGAGTCAAGGTAAAACCCTGGCTGATCATTGTGATGTCATCGAAATGACTTATCTCTCTGCCGTTGAGTCTGGTTTGCTCTTCTGGTCACTAGCTGATCTTCTTGTCCAGAGGGGCGGTGGGGGTAGCCTAGTGGTTAAAGCGTTCGCTCTCCACGTAGAAGGCCCAGGTTTGATTCCCAACATTATAGTGGTGTAATGATTTATTGATAGTATCGATGCTTGCATTGTCAACTACGCGACACGAGTGCATCCATACAAAACACATTTAGGCAATATATCAGGATATATATCACGAGGGTCCATGATACATCGATGTATCACCACAAGAGACGATATATCCCGATACAACTTAAATACTACTTAAAGTTGTAAAGAGTATTGCATTAAGAATGGAAAGGGAATCTCTTTGAAATTCTTCTGAAATTTTAAAAACAAATTGAACCTGATAGGAATTTGTTTGTGTCTGTTATCTTTGTTACATGAACAAAGGAGTTGGTATAAGTCAAAGAGTGTGAACATTTTGCTCTGTGAAACTGTAGAATATTTGTATTCAAGAAATTGAAATATGTTTTAGTTGTTTGACAAATAACACTATTTATTAACAACTATGAACGATGTCTTAGCTTTCTTAAAGAAGGGAACAAAGAAAAGATAAAATTTAGAAAGCATACTTAAGAGTTTTTTTCAGTAATTCTGTATTCTGACATAAATTATGTTGAATTGTTTGTAAAAGCATTGGTGCAGAAACACAACTTCCCAAGGGAAACTTCAGTTTCAAATTTACATATATTAGATCAAGGTATACTGAATATGTTTGACTGTACTTTCTTGAGCATTAAATGCTGAAACTTTATTAGATGAACAGCTTTTTAAGTGTGTGTGAATGTAACACAAGTTGTGTTGTTTAACAAATAAAGTTTCATTCATTTTATCTATTATTTACGTTCTGTTATCAGAAATTGTAAATTATCGGGATATGTATCGTATCGTGATGATAATTGTCTCACAGGTTCCTTGCCAATACTTTCATGATATATCGTCTCGCCTCATTAAACTGGTATTGGGATTTATTGTCTCGCCACTTAGGCCACGATACACAGCTCTAACGGGTGTCAAGCCCTTTCCTGGTGTCCCCTGCCGTGATATTGCTGGAATATTGCTAAAAGTGGTATAAAACCATACTCAGTCAGTCAGTCTTCTTGTCCAACTAAAGGAAGTTGGGAGAATGATTTTGGATAGTAGAACCTCACTGTCAAAATATCAACACAAGTGGGAAAAACAAAACAAATGCATGCCAAGCCTCAGACTCTTAATGTTTTTACAACACGTGTTGAAATATTACACACCGAAAGATTCTTGGGTGAGATTCTCTGTTTTCAAAGCTATCTATTCCGATTTAATATGATGATATGATGAGAGTTTTTTTATCAACAAGGCTACAACAGAGAATTATCAAGAATTTTAATCTAATTACAATTTGGGAAAATTTGTAATTTTGCTATTTTGTTATGTTACTTTTTTTTCTTTTCACAGATGAATGAACTCAACTACACAGATGTGCATCATTGTCTGTCAGACAATATTTATGAGGTTATGCGACACGTGACTCACTTGGGTAGAACACGAATATATGCTTATCAAAATTTACCAGAAACAGCATAAATGGAGAATTTCTCCAAAACTCAACAGAATGGATCCTGGAAAGTAAACAGCAAAATTATGTTGACCACCCAAAGAAAATTATCGATACCTACTGTCTTTGTTTGGTTTGGTTTCTTGTTTAAGGCTACACTCAGCAATATTACTGCTATATCGCAGGGGCCTGTTAATAATCGAGTCTGGACCAAACAATCCAGTGATCAACAGCATAAGTATCATTCCACACAACTGGGATACGATGACATGTGTTAACCAAGTCTGCGAGCCTGATTGCTTGATTCCGTTAGTCACCTCTTACGACAAGCATGGGTTGCTGAAGACAAATTCTAACCCAGACCTTCTCGGGTTATCATGGTTATATCCAGTGTATAACATGTAAAATCATGGCTCAATGGTTTAAAGAATTCATCATAAGTTATCTTACCCATGCAGGAGGGCATGATCCAGATGTTCGCATAGCTTGTGACACTGCCAATCAGAGTTAGTCAGGGTGATACTGCTTTCCTGTCCACTATAAAACTGGTACTCCTGAATCTGCAGCAAACAAAGACAGAGAGGCCTCAACTTACTGTCAACATCCGGAATTACCACACACATTACATACACTTGTGAGTGAGTGAGTTTAGCTTTACGCCGCATTTAGCAATATTCCAGCAATATCACGGCGGGGAACACCAGAAATGGGCTTCACACATTGTACCCATGTGGGGAATCGAACCCGGGTCTTCGGCTTGATGAGCCAACGCTTTAACCACTAGGCTACCCCACCTCCCCCATACACTTGTGAAACAATGACAGTGCTAATTACTTTCACTTCAGATTTTCCTAAGTTTGAGGAACAGACTATAAGGCCTTGCAATTGCTTTCATATGATATTTTAAGTTAAGCTTCTGTACATGATTCTACAGTTGCCATTTTCAACATCAGACATTTCTGCAACTGGAACATTGTATTTACTTAATTGGCCTCAGTGGTTTTATCACAGAGAATAGATGGTAATTCAATCCCCTGGCTGTGTCAAATCCAAGGACATTTTAAAAGAATAAGATGATTCTCGAATAGTGGTGTTCCGATTAATTGAAATAATCGAAGATTGGTCACAGTGACTAAACGACCAAGCAATTGATCATGTTTTCTCATAATCGAACACAACTTGTTTTCATTAACAATATTTTTCACAAGGTTGGTTTTGTCTGTTACATTTCATAAGCACTACAAGCTCGTTCCAAGTCATGATTGAATTTATCTTAAAGACACCAAATGTTCCTAACATACTAGTCATCCTTTAAAGATGTGAAATTTTGCACAAAAAACCCCAAAGAACGTGTTTTTTCCCTTATTTTTTGTGTGCATTAACAAATTTGATAAATGACGCTAACCAATCATTTTCGATGATTGATTGGTTGTAATGAGCCAATCATCAATTTTGAGATTTTAACCAATTCCCAACACTATACTCGAAACCCTGCTGAGTTTAAGGTGTTAAAACAAGGACTGGCTAGCTCTGGTTCAGTATCCATGATTACCATCATATTTCAGTGAACGAACAATTGATATGAAACCAGCATAAGTTCCAGCTTGCACAAAGAGCCACAGACACACATTCATGTAAAACTTAGGGTCCCACAATAACCAAAATATCTCATCCATAGATCTTTACAAGAAATAGATGGCCCCCATTGAAATGGTATTTGTGTCTATGTTGAGAATATTCGAAAATTACTGAAATTCTTATCACGAACTTTTTCCCAAGTTTAATGCTTCTGATCTGAAGGCCAACATTTGATTCATTCACTACCCATCTGCTAACAGCTGTTGCTTCAAGCTAACTGGGGTGGTGGGGTAGCTGTGGTTAAAGCGTTCACTTATTACACCGAAGACCTGTGTTCATTTCCCCATATGGGTATGATGTGTGAAGCTCATTGCAAGTGATCTTGCTGGAATTTTGCTAAAAGCGGCGTAAAACCTAACTCACTCACTTACCCATGTGGGGAATCGAACCCGGGTCTTCGGCATGACGAGCGAACGCTTTAACCATGTGGTTAAAAGCGGCGTAAAACCTAATTCACTCACTTATTCATACGTAACTGAGAAAAGAAACCACAATAAGAAACCAGAAACAGGCACAAATACTTAGAATCGGAACATGCAGAGTCATCAGTTCCTTTAAAGGACTGACCATCTGAATCTTTCTCTTTAAATTCTCCACGTTTTATAACATTCCTTATATACCAGTAATATAAGAAAAATTCTAAATAAACCTTCAGGCACTTCTCAACATGTTCAAGGGCACTATGCCAGAAATATGTACATGCCTGTGCCAATTCTTATACACCACAGGGCATGACAATTTTGAACACATTGTTTGGGTTCCATTAAGTCATGGGGATACTTGTATAAAGGGTGTTTGCTTGTTTGACTGGATGTGATTCACTTCCTGAAAGCATCCTCATGTGACTGTGTGAATCATGGTAATCATCCAAATAAAGTGTTATTCATCTTCCTGGTTACTTCATTTATGACATAACTGTAAACTTGAAAGGCAGACTATGCCTTTGCTGCAAGCATATTTGAGGAAGTAGCACATTTTCCAATGAGGGTCCGGTATAGGGTAAAAGTGAAAAAATGTGAAAATATTGTTTTGGTCTCAATTCAGATGAAGCAGGTATCTTACATATTCGGATAAGTAAAATGAAAAGAAGGTCTGACATGTTTCGGAAAATTGGACATTCCATTTTGAAAAATTGATTCTGGTAGGAAAAAGTGATTTTCATGAACTAGCATATTTTTCAAGATGTTTCTGGGAAAACCAGGAAGACTCCAGGAAACAAACACACGTTGCATGGATCCTGGTAGGCCTAAGGGTCATAACTCTGTCATATAGTTTTGGTCACTTAAATTACTAGGCCTAATGTGCCCTCCTTTAAGTTATTTACATAGAAAAAGGTTTAAAATCAGTCACAACACATTTTTGGCCAGTTAGCATGGTATTATTGTTGATCTATTTTCAAAGACTTTGACGATTTGTCTTCTTAAATGCTGTAATGAAGTATTTTTAAATGTGTTAATGATATAGAGGAATATACAATAAATTACAATCAAATGTTGATTGATTAAAAAAACCGACCAAATGCCAATTGTATTCAGCAAAATAACAGAGTTAATGATATATCCCATTAAAAACTTCAACATGTCTAATCTTTTTGCTAATCAACAACACATGTTGCAAGGTTTACCTTTATCATGTTTATGGAATAAACAGAGCCATCAGTGAATCTATGAATCATTCTAACACGCCCTGCAGACTTTGTTTTATCATTAAAGGTAAGTGCTATCTTCTGATGTATTTTGGAATGATGCAACCAGTTGGCCACACCACCAACCTTCTCTCTCAGATGATCAAACATGGAGGAAGTCATCACAAGCAATAAATATTTTCGAAATATGTATAACAACAACATAGCTGTGTACTTTCACAATAATCATGATGATCCACTATATATATATCACAATATTTACTATCTTTTCTTCGTTAATGTCAGGAGTGACTGAGTTTAGTTTTATGCCGCACTCAGCAATATTCCAGCTATATTGTGGCGGTCTGTAAATAATAGTGTATGGACCAGACAATCCAGTGATCAACAGCATGAACATCGATCTACGCAATTGGGAACCGATGACATGTGTCAACCAAGCCAGCGAGCCTGACCACTGGATCCCGTTAGTCGCCTCTTACGACAAGCATGGGTTACTGAAAATCAATATTCTACCCCGGACCTTCACGGGTTTTAATGTCAGGAACTGTAATGAAATGTATTATCATATATGTTTATAACTTCTGGGTTAACTTCATTTATGCTATTTTCTAAATAATTTTGTAGTCATTTGAGCATATAGAGTTTACACTGCAGATAACAAGTCTTCAAGATAAAAATTAATAAAATAGAATATCACTTCAATGTTCTATATCACCAAACTATTAGTACTTTGTTTCAGAAACCAAAACATTTCCATATGTGCATCTTTTAAAACAACAGTTATTTATAAACCAAAACTTCCTATTCGTAACTGTTTTGTTTCTACTTAGTACAACTCTAACTTAAAGGATTTTTAAAAAGGTTAAAAACTATGCATTTTTATTACATAATGCCATTCAAACATGAATATATACCACATCTGCACCATCCATTTACGAAAACTAGTCGTAAAAATTATAAATATGCACCAAAACTAAAACCACTTTAGCCCCGCCCACTCGTATGCATATTTTTATGTTTAGCGGTCTGCCGTCTGTGGGTGTGACGTCATACCCGAGAGTCCGCTCAGTGTGTTGACATTTCAGTAGTGTATACGTCATCGAGTTGAAAGTGACACGACGCGCAATATTTTGAATGAAGCGTTGTTGTGATTATGTATTGGAAACTGACAACTGCACTTCGAGTTTTGATGATTTTCCAAATGCGTAAACAACACCGATGTGCATTTCCTGAGAAATTCTATTTGACAAGAGGAAGGGCATAGATTGTTTACTGTCGTCGTGCGGAGTTTGTGAACCCCACCACGCACGGTCATCTGTGTTCGTTACACTTTTCAAAGAAGTGCTATGAAAGAGACCTAACCTCTGGCGAAATATGGATACGAATAGGCAAAGCTTGAACTTTATAAGGATGCTATATATCGGGCATTCCTTTCGACATTCCAAACAAACACAGAGGCCGAAATGTCAACTTGGGACTGAGACCGAGAGAGTTGCATTCCGGATGCGACGTTGGTTGCAGGTGAGTTTTAAGATGTAGTTGTTTTGGAGCAACATAAACTCTCCAGTACTAGCTAGCTGTATAAAGAAATAGTTCATGGAAAAGTACGTCATAATTTGCGCTCATGTCCTATTTTCGATGAGAGATATATTTTCACAGCCACTGTTACTGTTACCCAGTAGGGCCAAGTCATCTATTTCCCGAGACGGAATGTTGGGTGTTTTGTGGTGTGAGTGTGTGTGGAGGGATTGGGATGGGGGCGGGCATGGACAAATGAGAACTTGCAACATATGAGTGCGGTGGTGAGAGAGAGCACATAATTATTAAAACATAATAAGAAAACAAGTCATATCAGATAATTATCCACCAGGGACTGGTCCCCTACCATGTTAAAATGGTATGTGAATTTTGTGTGTGTGTGTGTGTGTGTGTGTGTGTGCGTGCGTGCGTGCGTGTGTGGCGCGTCGCGTCGCGTCGCGTCGCGTGCATGGCGTATGCGCGCGTGCGCAGCGTCGTCGTCGCGGTGTTTGGGCATGATTAAAATGTTGACTCTCACTCTTTCTCTCTTTAAGGCAATGTACAATAAATAAAATGAAAATGACTGCTCTGCACTGGCATAAAATTTAGGTATCTATGGACCCCTTGTAAAAACATCATGGCAGCTGTATATATAGATGCTTGATTGGCATTTTAGAAGATGATATTTGATGAACATAGAGATTTTTTCTGGGTGGCATCTTCTTTTTTAGCTTTATATATATGTAAACTTTTAATAGG